TTGCTTTTATTAAAGGGACTTACCATAGAAATTTCGTTTAAATTGCTTCAGAAACAAGATCGTTGCGTTTTGCACATATGCAACACAATTTTTTGACTTTGACAATTTTTTTCTCCGTTTTTTGATAATATAACCCGGCCCAATTTTTTGTAGGTTGTACACAGGAAAATAAGGTCTTCCAAATAATAGAATAAAAATTTTAGGTTGCTATTTGAAAAAAAAAGTTCGATGCCGTTACGGCGCTCCAAAATTTTTTTTCAAAAATCCGGCCCGTTATTTTTCTGTTCGGTATGCCTAAAACATATATACAAAATTTCAACAAAATCCGTCGAGCCGTTTTCTCAGAAAATTGCCAACAAACGTACGTACGTACCTACAGACGGAAAAAATTTTATTCTTTAAAAGTTGCTTAAAATGGTCTAAAACGTCGACATTTGATGAAATTTTGAAATGTTCAAAAAACGGCTATCGCAATAGCTACCTAGCACATGCTAGGAAGCTAATAATTTTGATTTAATTAGTGAAAAATTAAGTGAATGAAGGATTATTAACAGCTGCATCTTAAGGGAAGTACAGACCAGACAACCAAATGTTGGCAACTGTTGACAACAAATTGAAAGCACATCAAAACATGATTGACGATGGACCTACCGACAGCGCCGTTGCTGCTGCTAGTGCGAATTTCCTAACAATCGCTGCTACTGGAAAAAAAACTAAGGAGTTGCGATTAAGGTTTTTGTTAGGGAGCGAACTCATAATTCGACACGGAGAATTAGAAGTGAGCCATGATTAACGAGCGGCAATATCCGCCCATTTTGGTAAAAGGACTCCCTAACCACCGAGCTAACCACCTTACTTTATATACATACAGTGAATTTTTTTTAAATGCGAACATAGGAGTTTGCATGCAATGTAATTTCCCTATGTTCGATTTAAAAAAAAACACATCAATCTATTGAGTAGTTCAAATGAGTAGTAGATACAATTGACAACTGTCACATTTTTAAAAATACCGCCGTCCAATTTAATTACGAAATCGGTTAGGTTATTGGTGCGAATGTCAAGGAAGACACTTTGAACATTTATTGTAGTTGTTTGCGTTATTTATTTTCTTCATTTATGTATTGAATAAATCAAATTAGTAGAATACCAGGTACACATGACCTACAAATAATTGAAGGTTGGTTCACAATGATTTGTGGTGTCAGTGCGTGGCCGGTGAGGTCAAGTTATCGTAAGTTTAAGAAAAATGTATCCTAAAGTTGCTATGGCCTCACATGGCTTCTTTAAAAAAATCTTACTGAGTGCTCTTCATCATAAAGACTGGAGTTGCTGTTCGTAGTCACACAAGTTGCGCGATTTGGGCATGTGAACCGCGCACACCTCATAGATTGATGTGTTTTTTTTAAAAATCGAACATAGGGAAATTACATTGCATGCAAACTCCTATGTTCGCATTTAAAAAAAACTCACTGTATGTTTTCTAGGCTTAAGTTTAGTTCAGTAAGCGCAGTTGTAAATACAGTCCACTTAGTGTAAGAATTAGTGTAAGGTGCTACAATAAAGGAAAGCGTGAAGGCACTTGTTCTTATTTCAAATCAACATCTACCCCAACTAAGCTTGCTGGATTCAACAGTTTTCATATCGGCTTTGTGCTTATATTAATACCACGTATTCGGTACCTACATACAGGGTGTTCATTTGAAAACTCTCCACCAGGGATTTATCGAAAACCACCGATTAAAGGAAAAAAACGCCGAAACACGCAAAATATTTGTTAAAGGGGACAACTTTTTAACCAAAAACTATTTCACCTTCTGCCTCCCAGGGTCATTCCTTTAAAAGTTTTATGGTATCGAGTAATCGCTTCTTTGAGAGGTCTTTCGAAGTCCTTTATTTTGACGTTTGATACTTTTTTTAAAAATCGGTCGATTCGTTTTCGAGAGAATTAGAATGTAGCAAGCCTGGTAGCAAGTGATATGTGTTGTTGTGCGAGGATTTTGAAAATGAGTGGTGGTCAATGTGTGTATTTCAATTATAAGTACTTGCATTTTCTGATCGTCTGGTTTCAAAACTGGGATAACGCCCCGAGCGTACCCTCGAGTAATACGGCTCAACCAATCACAACGAAGAACTGCGACGTCACGGGACGTCAGCAAAAATGGGAAGTGGATGACAGGGCTTTTAGTACTTACGACCTACGTTACAGACGATTTAAATGGAGGTTGCTGCACCAAAAAGAGATAACAACAGGTAAGGATTGTTTGTGAAGGAATGGAACTTTAACGTTTTTAAGTAGCGTCAAAAATGTTGGCACCAACGTCCCCACCAAGCGACGTTTTCCACTGGAGTTGGAAAACATGGATACAAGAAGCAGTCGACAGCGTCCCCTCGCGCTCGGATTTACACGCTACTATTAAGGTACCTTTACACTATCATACTGTAACGGAAACGCTCCAGACATGACGTCGCCTTTGGCGCTCTGGAATTTTCTACGCGCGCGATAGTGGGATTTGTATAGGAATATTCCGGTAATTACGCGAATGTTCTGGACTTACATTGCTTGCGTGTATAAATGGTTGCGGACCGAACATCGCGGCAGTTTTACTACCGAACGAGATCGAGTACGTATGAAACATCGAGCGCGGAATTATAAATTGCGAAGTGTGTGATATAAATAATCGATATAAATTGTACGGTTTTTATAGTGTTTTAGTTTTGTTTAATAAATATTGATATAAATCGAACCCGAATTTATAAATAACGTTACAATACTTCTCATGTGATTTGTCATATGATAAGTAACAAGCATTTAGATTTGTGTTTACATTATACTATTTTTGGTATTATGGCTGTCATAAGACAAATCATAAGGAAATAATATGGAAATAATACGTAAATCGTGGAATAGGGATGTTTCTATTTCTGCATGACAAATGACATGACTTATTTTAAATATCCAAGTGATCCCGCCCTTTTATGGTTACTTTTCGCATTTTGCTGTTGTACTTATCTGAAAAAGCTGAATACTTGAGTAAACCAGTAAACTTTTGATTATATCATTGATTATAGGTATATTAGTATAAATTTTAGTATAAATTACATAAACAATAAATCGAGCAATAAATATTTACGAGTATATTGGTATTTGGTTGTCTGGTTGTAGTGGTGTTTTCAGACACACATTGTCAAATAGTGTCTTGATTGGTAATTAACCCTTCAAATGTTTGGGGTAATCTTTCAAATAAGGGTACACTCATCCTTAATGTGGACCAAGGGGACGACCCTGTTTGCTTTGTTAATTAAACGCATAACGGAGAAATTATTTTTAAAATAATTGTTAAACTTTGAGGCACTTTAGAAGTTCACCTATTTGTGCTTTACAAGTGATTTTTTTGAGTTCTAAATTAGCCTGAAGGTACTTTTTTGTTGAATACTTATTGTGATAATTAGCGATTTATTTTAATACAGAAGTTAACCGCACAAAATTGCTTATTTGCCAATTTATTTAAAATTTTGCGGGATCTCGCAAATACCGGGTTCCCGCGGGATTAACATCTAACGATCCCGCAAATACCGGGATTTAGATTTTGCTGCGGGATTGCATTCCCTAGCTGTAACTTTTGAACTAGTAGCCCAATCTTGGAACTGTTTGAAATTATGGATTCTACAGGCCACATTCTATAAGAAAATTTTTTTCCGTGTCGATCTGAGACAATTTTTTTTTCGGGGCTCAAAAAAAGGCAGTGTATAACCTTCCTTTTTTACCAAAAATCGACTACACCAAAATTTCTCGGGAAAACACTTTTTCTTATTAATTTTGGTGCGTAGAATCCAAAACAATTCGTACTTTTTCGATCAGACTTCTCAATCAAAAGTTATAGACTAGAAACCAATTTCGAAAGAAAATTCAAAGGGCTGTAACTTTTGAACTAGTAGCCCAATCTTGGAACTGTTTGAAATTATGGATTCTACAGGCCCAATTCTATAAGAAAACTTTTTTTCCAGTTCGATCTGAGACAATTTTTTTTTCGTGCCTCAAAAAAAGGCAGTGTATAACCTTCCTTTTTACCAAAAATCGACTACACCAAAATTTCTCGGGAAAATACTTTTTCTTATTAATTTTGGGGCGTAGAATCCAAAACAATTCGTACTTTTTCGATTAGACGTCTCAATCAAAAGTTATAGACTAGAAACCAATTTCGAAAAAAAATTCAAAGGGCTGTAACTTTTGAACTAGTAGCCCAATCTTGGAACTGTTTGAAATTATCGATTCTACAGGCCACGTTCTATAAGAAAAAATTTTTTCCGGGTCGATCTGAGACAATTTTTTTTTTCGGGGCAAAAAAAGGCAGTGTATATATGTATAACCTTCCTTTTTTCCAAAAATCGACTGCTCCAAAATTTCTCGGGAAAACACTTTTTCTTATTAATTTTGGTGCGTAGAATCCAAAACAATTCGTACTTTTTCGATCAGACTTCTCAATCAAAAGTTATAGACTAGTAGAAACCAATTTCGAAAAAAAATTCAAAGGGCTGTAACTTTTGAACTAGTAGCCCAATCTTGGAACTTGGAACGTTTCGTAACTTCTTGTATTAAAGTCATATGAAAAACTGTCAAGTGTAAAGTAAAACATTAAAACTCTTACGAAAAATATGTTGGTAGTAAATATCATATATCATATAAAAAATCATGTGAGATATATTATAGTGTAAAGGTACCTTTAGAGAGACGGCGGATGCCATTACGAGTATCCAAGTAATCCAGATTCCAGGGAGTAAATAAGTGTCCCCCCGTGATTGTAGTAATAAAGTAAAAAACAAATCAAAGGATTTTGATGGGTCCTTCAACAGTGTATTGGGCCACAGCCACAATTAGAGAAAAAGACCATCCTGTATCTACAGATGTAGTACGCGCAAGTAGGCGCCAAGCATGCGTGTTTTTTAAATGGGGTATTCGACTACGTGCGAAAGGCACGTATGTTTCGTCTGGAGGCCGGTTTTGTTTAGCGTTTAGCCTGTTAGTTCCGATTTGAAAGGCGTCGTGTATAATTCGGTGACTGCAGTTTTAAGACGTAGAACGTAATTCTAGCAGGAAACGAGCGTAATTTCTTTTCGATAACCTCGTTACCTTTAAATGCGACTGCTCACGTAGCTTGTGAATTGAGCAAGTTTAGCATAGGTAGCGTCGGTAGTCTAATCTTTCAAACAGGAAGTGTAAAAAGTTGAACTTCATATCCTAGGGGCCACATGTAGGAAAAGTTCCGTCGAACTCATCGTCAATCATCAGGAATGCGAGACGAGAGAGGAGGGCGCCAAACATCGCATCGTCGGCGTCGTAAATGAATTAGCGCGCAAAACGTGAAAAGGGCGACATGTAAATTCAAGTACACCTTCCTTCTTAATTTCATTGGAATACATTAAATTAATCTTATAGCATGTTATCTAATCCAATAACGAAGCGGCATTAAATTCGCTCCCCACTCTGATCGTATACAGCAAAACAAGTATCAACAAACCTCGCACAGATTTATTTATAAACGGACATACGAGAAATAATGTTTCACGAATTGGCGTATTTAAGCAACCACCACTTTAACCGCGAGTGGGCCGATTCGCCGGATAATAAAATAACTCACAGTAAAAGTGCAAGTGGCGGTTTTGATCGCGTTAACACGAGGGCGCCGTTTAAAGTAAATCGGCAAAACAGCTCCGTGGTCGGCCAAAAGTTGCGCGATTCCAAGTGGTTTCTACATAATGAGATAAATATATTGTGCGCCGTTTTGGAATCGGGCTTTGTGTTGCAGAAAAAAAATGAAGTGACAGAGGACCATAGGGCCATCGCGCTCTGGGAACCAGGACATGGTAAGTGCACGCGTTTGCGACAGACCGACGGACTTACACAGTCAATTTTCAGAGAGAAGCAAATCTCCCGAAAACATAACGATATATACGGTGATACTACATAAGCAAAACTACAAATTTCACAAATGTGATCTGTTGTCATTCTGGGAGCCAGGCTCTAGTCTAAAAATAAACAATCAATCCGATCAGCTCCATGCCCCAAACAGCGAAGAAGTGATAAGAAACCAGGTGGCTTACGCGGAGAGACATAAGCAAAAGTGGGAAAACAGCGAGCATTTCACCTACTGGTGTCGTTATGGCGAACCGTCAAAACCGTCGAGGACAAGACTGGTTGGTTGACTTTTTAATTACGCGCTTTCTTTAACATTAACTATTAATACCTTTGATAAGATAACTGAACTGCGCATTTTAATTGTGGTTATTTTCCAGTTTAGCGACAACCTTAAATGGGGAAATTTGGGCCTGAACGCCGGCCTCTTCCTACTGAAAAGGCGAAGAACTGTGAGTAGCAGTAATTAATTTTAAGCCATAGCCTATAAGTACGTGTATTTATTATTGTTATCTTTACTTATAATTTTATACGTGTAAAAATACATTAAATAATAAAATGTTGTAAGCCTTGACCCCGTTATTTATAAACGAGCGCTGGTTATTGTTTTTGTCCCGACCAATTAACATAAACATTTATAACGGCGACGCAACAAAAATGTCGATGATATAAACGAAAACGGCACGCGAAATGATTGTAAACAAGTATTGACCTTTATTTTTGCCTCAAGAGGTATAGGCTGTCTTAAAATAAACGCCAAATTAAATTTTACGATTCTATAGCGCCAAGCACGTAGGCAACACACGACAATTTCCTATTCCATTGCTGCTCATGGCTATACCTACAGTATTAAAAAAGGTTTACTGCTTATTAATCGACGAGGGTTGCACAGTACATAAAAGATACCGATCAAATTTACCCTAAGTAGTATAGTAGATTCATACAGAAAGTCTGCAAAATGCGTTGCGTAACTACCATGCGAATTAAAGCCCTCCTACAATCAAATCTACCTATTAAAAAGTAATCAAAATGGCTCTCGAATATTCCGTGCATGGAGAATTCGCCCCCGCCTGAATACTCTTGCCAAGAAAATTCCCGTTTAGAAAAGTTGCATCCTATGGAACTATGGAGTAGATAGATATACAAGATGTATTATGATTTATGATTAAAAGTTCATAAATAAACATAGACTTGTAAACGCTTCAAATCATCAATATCTCCTTTTTCTTCTTCCTCGCTTCCCTCCACCTTCGGTCTTCACCGATCACTCCAATACGTCTCTCAACATTCCATTACCCCTCAACACTTTCTCTTTCCAATATTTATTGCTTAACAGTTGTCTTTCTTGTCCTACTCTACTTAATATTTCCCTCATTTCTAACCTTATCACTCCATTTTACTTTTAACAACCTCCTCCAAGTCAGAATGCTTCCAGTCTTCCATTTAATGTCCATAATAATAATAATATTTATTGGTGGTGTTTATACAGTAAATATTTCCACACGTCACTGTAGGGAAGTACAATTGCCACTTTATTGTTCGGAGCCATCAAACTTGTAGTTCAAGTACTCATCGATACTATAGAATGCTTTGGCACCAAGGAACACTCTGATTGTTTTTCTGAATTCTTGTTCTTCCAGATCCCTGATGTAGTCAGGAAGAGCATTGTAACATTTCTTCATGTAATAGTTAATGTCTCGTCCTTTTACCGTCCGATAGTAGTCTTCGACAAGGTGGTTTTTAGTCCGTACATTGTAATGACATTTATCAGTTTTTACCTTACACCAGAACACTCCAAACTAAACATTTCACCAAACTTTTTTCGCAATTCTAAATCCAACCTCTCTTTCTCACATACGCTGTCTTGCGCATTCCAATTCTTATCGTTATCTCCAGGGGGTAAACACCAGGGGAAGTAATTGTACAGAATGGAGGAAGTTATAAGGAAGTACGGGGAAGTTCGGGGAAGTAACGAGGAAGTACTCATTTGGTCATAAGATGCGTAATGTTACAGAAGGTGATCGGAGAGGTAACATCTGGTAAACACTTGAAAAGTAATAAGGCAGTTATTTCTGAGTGCATAAATCCCGCCTCGTTCCAAAAAAGTCAACACCTATGATTGTGATTATCTATATAGATACCTAAAATCAAAACCTATTTTTTCACTACTAGCGTCTGATAACATGATTATTAACCTTTTTTCCACTTGTAAAGCAGGCTTTCTCGCCAGTTGTTCAAAGTGGTCATTATTAACGAGTAGTCAATACTGAGAACTGTCACGCTGTCACTTTTAGAAATCACAACCTGAAATTTCGCTCAATAAACGTTCAGATAAAATGAATAATTGCCATCATCCGCCATTTCAAGAGAAATTACACACAATTATCACATTTTGAAAAAATTCGAACGAAACTACTCTTTGAAAATATCTCAATAATAGAAGAAAATACGGCCTTCTTGACTGTTACTTCCACCCACGTAATTGACATATTAAATTAATAAACCAAAAATTCTGTTCACCGTTCACTTTTTTAACAATATAGATCTGTTAATTTAGAGGACTCCTTACATCCCTATGCGATCAAAAATGAGTTGCTGTCGAGTCGCCTTTGGAATTTTTGTTTACATGGTAAATCGTACTTAACTTGAATTTCCAAAGGCGATTCGACAGTAACTCATTTTTGATCGCCCGTTACTAGTAGTGGAAGAAGTAGTATACAGGATGTCTTAAATTGAGTAGATACCTTACATGGCCTTCTTTGTTATTATTATACTTACAGATTTGGTTAAATTGGAACAGTTGTATAGTTTTTGATGCTAATGGATATTCCGATTCCGATGCGAGATTTTGAAAAAATAAATAGTTTCGTAGGTAATTGATAAAAAATGAAAAATCGCCATTTTAAAAAAATTCAAATATTTTAGTAACAAACAGAGCTATCGAAAAAAGTTTCAAATAAAAGTTGCAAGAGTCGATGGGATAAATTCAATATGTGTAGAAAAAAAAATTTCAAAATGGCGGATTTCCAGATATTGACATCAACTTCCTTATTTTAAATGGACGACATATTTGACTTTTACGTCACTCGATAGACAAAAATACAAAACCAGCTAGCGAGATAACTAACGAACGAATTTGGTTTCAATCACAATCGGCCATGGAATTATTGCTATAAGAAATACATTGTAAACTTCGAGGCAAAAATGCAAGGTTGATTCCCAAATGAAATACTAAGTGGTTTTGTAATTTTTTCGCTATGGAGTGACTTAAAAATCCAATATGGCGTCCATTCAAAACAAGGAAATTGATGTCAATATCTCGAAAACCGCCATTTTGAAAAAAATTTCTATTGAATATCCATTAAATTTATCCGATCGAATCTTGCAACTTTTATTTGAAACGATTTTCACATTTTTCCAATTATCTACTACGAAACGAATTATTTTTTTCAAAACATCGCATCGGAATATGCATCAACATCAAAGACTACACGTAAACTTTGCCAATTTAACCGAATTTGTAAGTATAATAATAACAAAGTTAGCCATGTTATCCTATTCAATTTAAGACACTACGATAGAGAAGTCTATTACGCGCACCTTACATCCCTCGGCGCAAGCGCCTCAGGGTGTAATCTTCGTGCTTAGGCAATAATACTAGACTTCTCTACCTTGGTATATAATGTACTATTACATAGAATCACATAAAATATCAATTATATCAACCCCTAATATTAACCCCTAATGATTTAAACAGGAATTTTGAAAAATCTTGAATAGCTTGAAAACCTTTGATGCTGGGTATAGGGAAATGTGGTATCAAACCACGTAGATCTTCATGTAGATGTCGGTAATACAATATAGGGTGATCGATTTAAAAGCTATCCACATCCGTTAAAACTGGAAGTGACACAGTGATGATAATATTTTCTTTCGATAGATCATGGAAAACTATGTTAGTATGCACATTTTCAGATTTCAAGTATTAATGGGAGTCTGAATACTTTTAGGTAACGGTTGACGTGATTACCGATAAATTAGTATTGTTAAGTATCCATATGAATATTATTATTGTTCCGTACATATTGTCTTTAGTATAAAATTGAGCAATAAATGTTGGCAGGACAATTATTGTCTTAATTTCTTTCATATTAAAAATTCCTTCAAACGTCATCTAATACAAAGGTAAATATTAAATAGGTAAGTGTGAAAATAAGTAACGATTAACACTTATCTAATTTTTCATCTCATGTATAATATTCATTTCACATCCATTCGCATTTCGCATACAATGCATTTTCGTGGACACGTTATAAGCGTTACTACGTCTAAGATTGAAAAAGCAAATCTAAAGTCTATATCAATGTGTACTTACAGTGGAATGTCGGGAAAGTATAAGGGAAGTTCCGAGGAAGTACTAGGGAAGTACTGGGAAGTAAGGGGAAGTATAGGGAAGTTACGAGGAAGTACTGAAGGGCTTCCCCCGAAGGGGAAGTATTGTACAAATTTTAGGTCTGGTGATTACCCCCTGGTTATCTCCTTTTCAAATTTCACTCAACCAATTGTCTGATATTACTGTGCCTAAATATTTACTTGTTACAATTTACTTCCCTTACCCTTACATCAATTACTTCCTCTGCTCCAGTTTTCATTATACCGTCGACTTCTTGTGGTTCTCAATGTCTTCCAGTTGTTTCAACATTTCATTCAATTCCCGGGTGTTTTCAATAAATATGATCATATCATTAGCAAACCTGACTGCTCTTACATTTCTGCTACTTCCTCACCATATCCTGTAACGGTTTATTTTCTCCATTACGAAGCATTATTATTGCTTACGGTATATTTACTTGTTGAAGGATTCTTGTTACTTTTGGTAATAATTTAACAGATGGCTCCATCTATTGCTGGAATTTGAACCACGCAATTTTAGCGCGCCGTAATTTTTGGTTGTCCTCTTTCTGTCGAGAACCGTATCAGGTTACACTTTATTTTAAACCAACAGTTGAGGCGCAAGTTAGAACGCATGGAATTTTAATTGCCATCGCCTATTTATTAACCTCTGGCAATTGAATGCATTAAATTGGGAACGGATTCACCTATATAACTCCGTAGGGAGGATACTATTTGCGTTTTTCCTTGTTTTCGTAAGTACCGCCATTTGCATTTCATTTACTAAGAGTATACCTACTTCTTTAGGCTCGGCTGTCATCTCTTAAGGTAAGTTCATAGCTCTCCGTTCATACGTTTCCGTTTGTCCGTTAGCCAATCAGAAGACAGCAAATTTTTAAATCGTACGTCGTCCGTTTACGACGGAAAAGTTGGTTGAAGTTGAACATTTACGTTTCCGTTGGTCTGTTTTTAACAAGAGTGAGGTTATGTTTGGTATGTTAACAGCGTTCGCCGATTCGTTCTTCACGGTAATAATCAGATAGCAATGTGTTCTTACTTTCGTACCATTTTCACATACTGAAAATCACGAAGGGTACAGTACAAAATAAAATTTAGGTTATGGTTATACTTGCAAATGTACAATGTGGACGGATTGCTATGAACCTTAACAAAACGTACTATCCGTTTGACGGATCAACGCAACGGATGAACGGAGAGCTATGAACCCACCTTTATACTGATTTCACAGTTTCAATCTGGGTTCCGGATTATTATTATTATTATATATTATTATTCGAGCAACTGACGAAGGCCTGCTAACCGTTTTGGTAAAGTTGGATTTCTCCAAAGCTTTCGACACCATTGATCATCAATTACTAAACTCCATTCTATTTCATTTTGGGTTTCATCTATCAGCAGTACAACTTGTTATGTTTTATCTCCAAGATAGAAAGCAATGTGTAGTAGTTAACAAAACTAAGTCTGATTGGGAAAATATTTATTACGGAGTTCCTCAAGGGTTCATCTTAGGCCCACTTTTATATGTAATTTACTCTAACAGCATTTGCAAGGTTTTGGAGAAGTGCAAGTACCTTTTATATGCAGATGACACTCAGATTTATTATTCTTTTCCACCTGAGTTAGTTGATTCCGCAGTAGAAATTATAAATAAAGAACTCCACATGATATCTGATGCTGCTGCTAGACACAACCTACATTTGAACTGTAATAAAACAACAGTGATGTTGTTTGGTCGTAAGCTCGTCAGAAGTAGAGTTGTGTCATCGGTGAGGATTAAAATTAACCATACGTATATTCCCATTAGCGATGAAACTAGGAATTTGGATTCAGTTGAACACCAACCTAAGATTTAGGGGCCACATTAATGGTTGTATACGTAAGGCTTTTTCTGTTTTCAAGCGATTGTACCCTAGTAGACATTTATTAACAGTCAAAACTAAAATTCGCCTTTGCGACAGCCTCATCTTATCTCACTTTAACTTTGGGGATGTAGTATACGGTGAGTGCATTGATTCAAGGACTTCATATCGAATACAAAAAATTCAAAATTCTTGTTTAAGGTTTATTTATGGAGTCAGTCGCAATCAGCATATACCACACAAAGTAAAAGAAGCAGGTTGGCTTAATATTGTTGCAAAGGAGGTATTTACACTCGTCGGTATTATACCATAAAATTATTACAGCTCAAGTACCACCATATCTAGCTGAAAGGTTGCAATTTCGAACTAGTGTGCACAACTTAAATCTAAGGCATAGTGGTTTATTAACTACACCTATGCACAGTACTGCCTTTTTCAAACGATCGTTCTCTTATAATGTTTGTAAAGTGTATAACTCCTTTCCACATCTCATCAAAATCTCCTCAATAGTTACTTTTAGAACACATGTGAAAGCACTACTACAGCAGGGTTTTGTGTAAATACTATCTTCACTTTTTTATATAACTACATTCATGGACTCCCAATATTGTTTGTTTGAGATTGCGCATCATTTTCGTCTTAATAGTAAGTATTTAAAAATGTCAAGTTATACTTTGTATGGGGGCTACAAGGAAGAACAGTGTTTTGTGCGCTGAATGTAGTCCCTTTCCCCGAGGTTAGTTTTTTTAAAAAATATATTTTTCTATTGTTATTTATACAAACTTAAGGGGAATAAAAGCGTATTATTGTTATTATTATTATTATTATACGACAATTCTCCATCGACAATTGCTGCTTCACCTATAATTAGCCCTCTTATTTAAGAGGTACTTATGTAAATTTTGTGACATCAATAAAGGAGGGTTACCTTTAATTTCTTTTAGGGTTTCAATCAATTTTTAGTTATTTGTTCAAATTCAAATTTAATTCAACTGTAATGGCCATTTTAAGTTTCGGAGACGCTTTATTATACCTACATAATTTATCATTCTGTTGACGTACGAGTGTGTAACCTTCCGTTATTCCACCTTACCTGTGAGTGCCAACGCCCATGACATATCTTCCACCTGCTGATAAAGAGCAGCCATTTGCTGTGAAATGGGTCAACAGGTCAGCAACGACATTTGATACCCGGGATTGATCCTCAACAAAGAGACTGCCGTAACTTATTAATTCATTCATAGCTATTTTGCCCCTTCAGGGTTATATGCCATTACATTTAAGTAATTTGTGAACATCAGTACCTACTTAGTATCTTTGCAATCTCGATTAAGTTATGATCAAGTTTGAACCACAAATATTATTGTTGACCGGCGACCGCCACTTCCTTTTGGAGAGGTTAGCCAATTAAGTACCGCACCTGTTATAGAAGCATATTACGAGTAGAGTGACATTATTTTGAAAGGGCTTGGTCCAAGGATTCCGTGCGTACAGATATTTATGGTTTTGCGCATGCGCAGTGTCAAAAATTTAGTTTAACGCATGTGCAATGCTAACTTTTTTATTTATGAGGATAGTTCAATGAAACTTTATTTATGTAAACACTACGAATATAAGTAAAATTAACGACGTTTTCAAAATGTTGAAACTAAAACTAATACCGGTTTCAAAATTACTGTTAACGCATGCTGTATGTTTTATTTATGAAGGTATTCAATGAAATTTCTAATGTAGACAATGCGCAATGCTATTTACGAAAACATTTAAAAAAAGTTACATATGATGTACACTTAGAATAAAAGTAAAACTAATGCCCATTTCAAAATTTGTTTGTATTTGTATACGCTTTATTATTTTTCATTAAACTGTATAGACTTTGACGATAGGCGGCTCATTTGAAAGAGAATGGGGTAAGGGGATCTCGTGCCTACCGGTATTTTTTCCCGGTCCTAGCATTAGGAGGAAAATGCTCTCGCCATTTATGTCGGCATAATGAGTTTTTAACTTGTTTATTATGTATATGCAATTTATTTATGGGTTGTTTCGTTTTACCTAAATAGAACCGTAGATGTGTTTCATGTGTTTTTGTACTTAATTTATTGCTGTCAAAAGTAAATTATTTAGTATTTCAGAGAACTTGGTGTTTATTTTCCCGTTTCTGAAGACAGCCAAGTTGTAGCTGGCGCCCTCAGCACAAAAAGTGCCCATGGGCGCATGTTAGTTTAATTCTGGCCAAGTAAACTGAGCAGTGTCAGATGTAGAGGTCTTTGTTTGTGAAATATAAAAGAGTGAGAAGGCCTTGGTATTCACGCTCAACATAATAAAACCATAAAAAGTCATCCACTTACCTCCCTCAGTAATCCAAAAAGGACATCAGTACTTAGAGACCTCTCGTGAGCCTCATCCATAATAATGGCACTATAATGGTCAAGCTCCGCCTCTCGTAAACTTTCCCTAAGTAAAATTCCATCAGTCATATACTTGATAACTGTATTTTCTGAAGTACAGTCCTCAAAACGAATGGCGTAACCGACTTCATCCCCTGTTACCAACAGTTGTATAGCCAACAAAATTGATTTTCCAAAAACTTACCCAACTGAGTCCCCATCTCGTCGCTGACACGTTTTGCCACCGACATTGCGGCTACACGACGAGGCTGTGTACACCCGATCATACCGTACTTACTGTAACCGTCTTCGTGCAAATACTGTGTTAGTTGGGTCGTTTTCCCACTGCCCGTCTCACCTGAAATTGTACGGTGAGATCGATTAATCATCACTTCCACACTTACCTACGATAATCACCACCGAATTCTCACGAATAACGTTCAACAGCTCTTGTCTCACTGCGAAAACCGGCAGGTACCTCCGCTGTTCGAGAAAACTTTTCTTCCTCGCAAATTCACTACTGCTTTCAGTTTTCGTCATGTGATCAGCGAATTTTTGATCCGTCTTATAATCCGTACTATCGCTATCCTTGTTGTAACGTACGTCTTCTTCATCTTCCTTCTTTTTGATACCCATTATGTTACCTATTTTCGTACCGCCCAATTCCCAGTGCTTTTTCTGTGCCTTCTTTCGCTCCTTTTGCTCCCTGTAGACTTTGACTAGGTGAGAGCCTTTACGCGCGACCAGCGCCATATCCGAAGTCGGATCACTAAAAATTAACTTTCAGATAGATCCACAATTGAATTCCTAGTTCGAGTAGTGCAGCTTATGACAGTAGAGCAAGTCAAAATGAGAATATCTAAGGGACTGGAAGCGTTGAATAAAAAATGTTTAATTTTGCTATGTATTTGGAAAAAAGTGCCATTTGTAAAGGTTTCTTGAACAAGATCTGCGCACGCGCACACCTGTTGTTTAAAATATCAGATATGTTCGCCTTTACTAGAAGCATCTGTGATTAAAATTTAAAAAAATATCTCCATAAATAAAAAAGTTCACATTGCGCAGTACATCTGATTTTTACAATGTACGATATGCTTGTCTTTACTAGAAGAATCTTTGGTTAAAATTTCAAAAAAGTATCTCTAAATAAGAAAGAATAACTGCGCATGCGCACATTGATCGTCAAGATTTTTCTTAGTTGAGGTACCAGAGCCTTAAGCTACCGAATGCAAAAAGAACGAACTGAATATCTTGAAAAGTGTAGGAGACTCAGACCGTCCACCGTCGCTCTGTCCCTTTTCCACTGGGACAAAATTGGTTTGAAGCATTAAACATATCCGGCGGTCCTTCTCACTATCAACACTATCCTTGGTTTGTACCGCGTACATTGACTTCCTTTCGGAATCTCAGCGGCCTCCAGGATATTCCAGCGTCTCGTGACAGACGTAAGATTTGAAGTATATACAATGCGAACTTATGACAAAAAAGGAATCGAACTGCGATGCGGATGTTTTTGAGTGGACAATCGAAAGTAAGTGCTCAGAACCCGCTTACACTAAAACATTTTTTATTCAACCTGTTACTAAGGCTGAAGTTCTAAATGTAATAAAAGAATTTAAAACTACGTACTCTTCTCTATACCGGTTTCTATTGTGAAAACATGTGCGTACTACATAGACCCACTTACTTATGTAATTAATTAATGCTTCTCAAATAGTTACTTTCCAAACGAACTGAAAATCTCTAAAGTAATTTGTCTTTTTAAGAAAGGGAATCCATCACTAATGAACAATTACAGGCCTATACCACTGTTGTCTATTTTTTCAAAAATCTTTGAAAAAATTTTAGCCAAACAGCTAACTACATTTTTAGAAACAAACACAATTCTCTCTTCGCAGCAATTTGGTATTAGAAAATCAAAATCTACAACGCTTGCTCTTTGCGACATTTTAAACAAAATTTATCAAGAACTCGACAAAGGAAATAAAGTTTGTGCATTATTTGTCGATCTTCGTAAGGCATTTGATTGCGTTGATCATCAAATCCTACTAGAAAAAATTCAGAAATATGGATTGAGAGGTAGTGTGAATAGCTTGATAAAAATCTACTTAACCGGTAGAAGGCAATATGTGGAATATTTAAACATAACGTTCCAATGCAAGGAAATAGATGTCGGGGTTCCCCAGGGCGGTGTCCTGGGACCCTTACTATTTATTTTGTATTGTAATGACTTGGGTCAACATATTTCTACTCATTACACAGCTTTTGCTGATGATATAACTTTATTGTTTTCAAATAAATTTATAAGTCCCTTAGCAAAGACATTAAAAATCGATCTACTCAATCTTGACGCTTACTTAAACAAAAATAACCTCATATTAAATTTAGACAAAACGAATCTATCCTCGTCAGCATCTTTACACTAAAAGCCTACTTATAAGACAAAATGGCAAATCGCTCCAACAAATAATATCAATCAAGTTATTAGGAATTGAGCTTGACTTTTCTTTAAACTGAAAGAACCATATTAATTCACTCGCGAAAGATTGTGCCAAAAATTGTTATGCCCTAAAAAGATTAAAACAAATTACTGATTTATACATTGCGAAAACTTTTTACTTTTCTAACTTGGGGCAATTTAACATACGCCAAAAGAATTTTTATATTGCAAAAGAGAGCAATTCGATTGTGGTTTAATCTAGGTTTTCAAGAATCGTGTAAACAAATATTCATTAAAGAAAAAATTCTTACCCTTCCATACATATACATTCTGGAAACATTATTATTTGTAAAAAACAACATTAACGACTTCAATGCCTTAAATACCATCCACTCTTACAATACCAGACATGGTAGTAATTTAAAACTCTAAAAACATCATACCAGTTTATTCAAGAACAACCCATATCACATGGGGGCTCTGCTATACAATAAATTGCCCACAGAACTAAAACTTCACGAAGGCCGCAGCTTTAAAAATGCAATTAAAAAATGTCTAGTCACTCATGCGTTTTATTCTGTGGAAGAATATCTCGACCATGCATTTCAACTGTGATTTCTATATCACTCGTCTTTGTTTTTTTCAAAAACTGTAACTGTGATATACCTACCTTGTTTTAATTTACTATATATTCAAATACCTGTTTATACTATTTTTTTATTGTTTGTGTAGAATGACTTGTCCAATAACCTTACTCTGTGATTTACTGGATGAAAATAAATAATATTATAATATTACTTTTGAAGCAAGCATTTGCCTAGAAGATATCAATTTCAGAGGATGATTTATCGGGGTTTAACTGCACCTGCTTAAGTGAAACGAATTGAGGTGTGAGAGTCCTTTATTTTGCGGAAACTAGGGGGGAATTACCTATATAAAATATTATTCATATGGAGGGGCCCATTTAATGATGCAGTTTCACAGAACTTAAGGATCAAGTGTAAGGTAACTTAATTTTTTCAAATACCCATACTTTTTTATTGAATATTCTTATTCTACAACGGAAAATAATAAACTTTCGTGGGAAACGTTTTTTCCCTACACTTACCATATTTTGAGGACACTTTTCCAAAAGCGCGATTTTTGGTTTGAGCTGGGAAGCTGTTCCGTCAAGAATTTGGCACATTTTTTAGTTGATCCATTTTTTGAATTAAAAAATGTTTCGAGCTTAGGAGAATGAATCTTTATATGACATTATTGAAGGGTGGAATTCACTACTCATTTATCTCTACCGCCATAGACTACTAAATGAATCCTTTACTTACCGTACGGGAATAACCGGTTCGGGCTGCTTAGTAAATACAATTCGCCCATCCAAAAACGGGGGAACAATGTTATGCACAAGCAGGTGGACTCGATCTATCGATTCTTCATCGAAATCTTCATTAACGTCAACCGAGTGCACGACACCGGAAGTTAACATCCGATTACGTTCCCACAGCTCGTTATCCTTATTGATCTGTCTCTGCTGCGCCGACATTCTCTTCCTTTTGCGCTGCTCGAGTTGCTCCTCCTTCTTCTTCGTGTACGCATCGCTAACGCTCGCAAACGGGTTATTCTCGACATCGTATCCCTCGTCCATATTATACCACTCGCGATCGATACGCTTCTGCTCCTCCTCCCACATCTCCTTGTCCTCCTCCTCGTTCCACTTTAACTCCTCATTATTGTCAAATCCAGGAGTGGCCCCGGTCTTCTTGCGATCTTTCGCCCACAAATTATACTTGTGAACAGGAGTAAAACGAGGCGTATCACTTTTGTACTTCGACTTATGCTCGGATTTCTTATAGTCGTCCCTTCGCGACTTCGTGCTCCGTTCCGACCAATCGCTGCTCGATTTGTGCGCCATAGGTGTCGGAAAATCCCACGAGGATTTTTTAGGAGGAACTGGATCGTCGTCGTCCCACGCCGATTTCGAAACCTCATCCTTCACCTTTAAATTCGGCGTTTTAGGTTCATCTTTAAAGCGAGGAGTGTGCGATCTCTCGGATTTCTCCCTTTCTTTGCGTCTATCGTATCGCTCGCGTTTATCCGGCTCGCGACTGTTCTTTTTTAGATCTTTAGTGCTGGCGTAAACTCCCTTTTCCTTCTTTGCGTTGGAATTTAAACGTTCAATCAGGCGTTCTCGTGCCAATTCAGTTATGCCGCCAGTGTAGGTTGGAGTCTCGATGTTTGGTGCGCGAAACTTTCGTTTTTCCGATGAGTGTGCTTCTTTTACCTGATTTTGCAAACAAAATAAAAATGAGAATTTCCCTGTTGGAGACTATAAACACTCTCGAATCGCTTTATAAGCATGCCACCCTCGTACCTGATTGTGAACATCAACGCTGCTATCATCTTCTTCCATTCGAAATGATATTTTTCTAGCCGCATCTTCTTTCTCTCGCCTTTTCGCTGCCGCCAATTTATCTAAACCCAACAAGGAAGGTTGTGGGACAACGAAGGATGAAGGTTTCTTCTTTACGATTAAACCCCCTTTTTGTCCAGAAACACCTTCCAGCCGATGGAGCCCGTCATCTTCATCCATTTTCCAGCATAAGCGAAAGAGGAAGGTATTTTAAATCAATTGGATAACACAAAATTAAATCCACTTTTGTAAACAATTATGCATAACCTTCTTAATCATAACCTATATTTCTTAAACTGGATTGGCCCATCAGCCCATGGCAGAGCCGGATTAAGACATTTTTCGTCCTGAGGAAATAAAATTTTCTCGCGCTCCCCCGCCCCCCCCCAAAAAAATGTATGATGGATAGATATGTTCGCCAAGTTTAACACATTTTTACTTTTTTTTAAACAAAATGAAAATGACATTTTATCAGAAAATAAAATCTTATTTAGGCATAAGATAAATAAACAACATTTAACATAAAACCACATTAAATTTCCTGAACGTTTTAAAATTTTTTTCTAATTTCTAAAAGCAATAAATCTTTCTATTATAGAATCTTCGTCCCAAGAATTAAAAATATATGTAGAAATATTTAATAATGTTAAGCCGCTCGTTTTATCATTTTTCAAACAGTTTCATAAATAATTTTTAATTCTTTTAAGGATAGAGGACGACCTTTCACCTGCCGCATTCGTTGCTAGAAAATAAAGGTATATTCGTAAAGCAATATCCATGTTGGGAAAAGTAGAGGTTATAGTTTTTCCGACCACAACATTTTTAATACCTTTAAGTTTAACTTTGATTTTACCTGAAACTCATGGTCACTAATAGTCTAAATCATTTTTATTTCTTCATCGGGCAATATACTATTAATCTTTTCATAAATCCGAACAACTCGCAGAATTTTTGTATAGGCAAATTCAGAACCGGCTTTATATTTTGTTTGATAATTAGAAAGAATTGGCCTAACAAATATCGCCCTCATTCGCTTTTCCCGTGGCGATTGCCCATTTCGCCTTATAGTTTATCCGGCTCATGGGCCCATCCATAGATCACAAACTACAGAAGTCAGTTAAATCGCAACACTGTAAAGTGCCCGCGAACTTAAAAATGTATTGTAGAGTAGACGATAAAATGATATTTTAGTTACCGAATTAAAAAATTGGACTTACTCTCAAAGGTGGTCCCTTATTAGGTCCCTGTACGGCTAGTACCCCAGCCTATTGTGCCCTCTAGTTTTAGCCTCTCCCTTAGGACGAAAAATGTATTATTGCAGTATTGCTGAAAGATTATGACCTGAAAAGCTGGCAGAAGTGAGAAACAGTAGGCTACAGCGAACAACAAACATAGTCATGCCTCTAGCAGTATTCCTGGAAAAAGCATCTGATGATAGCAATTTCGGGTGTATTTTACCTATCCCCAAGCGACCTTGCATGCTAATCAGCCTGCTTTTGATTTTTGTTATAAACATAAAGTTCAAATGTATTTGATGCTGATGAAAAAAATCAAAGTAGGCTGATGTGTATGACAATTGAAAGTCTTCCATAACTTTTAGTTCTAAAAACACTTTTTTGAAGTCAAACCTCTTTCGGTCTGGTAGGGCAAGTCGAATGCTAAGGTCACGAAAATAGTAAAACGCTAAGAGGAGAATGAGTGGAGAGAGAGCATGGGTTCCCCCGCTTCTCATGTCAGAGGATAGCCAGGGCCGGTTTAGTTGGCGTGTTGGTTTTTTACCGACATGTTCTGTCTTGTGTAGTTCTTACGCACAATTTCATTTTTTTTAAATACATCTAAAATAAAGACCGTTTACTAGTGACTAATTTTTAGAATTCTGTAAAAAACCATCCTGTATATTAATTCATTTGATAATTTTTTGAATATACTAGCTTGAGACTAACCAGCAGCGATCCTTACATAAAGATCCAACCCTAAAAAAATTTGTTATATGCACCTGGTAATGTGCGACAGAAATCTGAAAATAAAAACAAATAATTATTCGAAGAATTATCAATAAAAATGGAGTTTTGAAGAAGTATAGGTGCTGCTGGTATACTAGGATCGCTACCTAGGGTACAGAACGCAGATATCAAGAGAAGAATGGAAGTAAAATCACACACGACTATTGATGATATGATATCATCAGGAGAGCGGATAATGGCAAATATCACAAGGACAACTATACAAAGGTCATGGAGACAAAGTATACAATCCATGCACTGGTAGAAAGACATTAGGAGAACAGACAGGAATAAAGGCTAATTGAAGGAAGAGCATAGGCGGTAGAATCCCATATTATGTTCTGTGATTTCGAAGCAGGAACAATTTTTAATTTTTTTTTCGAAACAGGTGCACCATCAGATGATTTTTTGTAAAGTAAATATAGGAAGCAAGAACTGTAATAAACAATATTAACAACATTGTATTGAAAATATTTTAATTCTACTGACCCTTCTTGACTATGCAGTTTCAATCCAGATGTGGCTAAGTGAAGCGCCTCAAGAATCACCCTGTATACCGAGCTCCGATTGGTTAATTATGTTTATTGAATTTAGAGGTGGAATTAAGATACACCCAGGAATGTTACAAGATGGTCCTCCCACAGGGTTGGCAAAAATCTGGGTTTTTGTATGCTTTGGGTGGGGTTTCGGGTATTTGTTTTTCTTGGGTATTTGGGTAATTTTTGGGTATTTGTCGACTTTCCGGAACTCTTATAGAAAAATAACATTAATTTTGAACTTAGACTGCCCGATAAAGTAGAAAAGCTTGTAAAAATAATAAAAATGAGCCACTGTAAAAAAGAGAAAAAGTTGTTTTAGGTTTTTAATTATTATTTTAATTTTATTTTGTTCCTAATGAATAAGCCGTTTTGTATTTTATATTTTAATGTAAATTTTTTTTGAAAGTAGGAATAAGAATATAAAGACTGATCTATCAGTACCTGCCTGTTTTCAAGTGAAATATATTTTATTTTGTTTTTGTTTCTTATGGTGATTCACAGCAAATTAGACTTTAAATATCACTGCGATAATTTGTCCAAAAAATTGAACACGTCGATATTTTTACTTACTCGGTTGCGCAACTGCACATCTTTAAATACCATTAAAGCAGCATATTTTGGTTTTGTGCATCGTTCTCTCTCATATGCCATCCTCGCTACAACGTAGAGCTGTTCGGGTTCTGGCATCTTTAGGTTATCGAGACGATTGCCGTCAAGCATTTATCGATCTCAGAATCTCAACACTTCCTTGTATTTATATTCTTGAAGCCCTATGCTATGCTAAACGAAATATATCCCTTTACACACAACAAGTTGACGTACATACTCATCACACAAGAAAAAAAAACAATATCCGTACTGATCTATGCAGACTGTCAAAATCACAAGGAGTACAGTACCAATCCAAACATTTATATAACTGCCTTCCCTTAGATATAAGGATTTTAGATTACCCCATATTTAAGAGACGCATAAAAAATTTTCTTCTATGTAGCACATTTTATTCTTTTAACGAGTTTGTGGCTAGTGGTAGATTATGTAATTAGTTTTTATTGCGATCTTACTGTTTTTGCCTGTCTGTTATATACTATTATTTTTAATGTTTGTAATTTCCAGTTTCTTTTGACGAGTGTAAGTGTAATTCACACCTTCTCACAATTAAATATTATTATTATTATTAATGAAAAAGCCGTTTCGTATTTTATATTTTAATGTAAAATGTTCTTGAAACTTAGGAATAAGAATGTAAGACTGATCTATCAGTACCTGTCTGTTTCCAAGTAAACATTATATTTTGTTATTAAATTATCTCGATTTTGTCTCATTTTGTGTCTCAAATTCTTTGGGCTTTTGTATGGGTTTTTGTGTTGGGTTTTTGAATAGGTCGTTGGGTGGGTTTTTGACACAAAAACCCTGTGGGTTTTTTAAATGAGTTTTTCGTTTTGCCAACCCTGTCCTCCCAAGAGGATTCTAGATTTCTTCAAAGGTAGGTATTGGCAAGGAGTGTGACTAAAACTAGAAGGTACAATAGGCCTTAAGGCTGCGGTAGGACACCACGTCTGAGAATAATTGCCTAGAAAACGACAAGCATTTGCCAGTTATCGTGTTCACAGACAGACAGATGCCATTGACTCCCCTAATAAATTTGACGAAGATGTAAATGTGTTAGTTGCCTCCATCAATGGATACACTCTTTCTTGAAAAACCTGTAACCTATTACTTAAAAAAAAATGTTTATTAATCAGTATATAACAATTCTTATAAATAGCTTAATAAAAGTCTTTGAATGGATGAATAACACTAACCGATGTATTGTACTCCATCATTTCTAACACATGAACATGTGGAAGCACTGGAGGACTTTTGTATCGATTTGTAATAATAAAAATTTGCTGCTGTGTTTTTAGGTGTTTGAGAGTTCTTGAAATTTGTATTCTAAACGCGTCCGGCAAATTTATAACGCAAATATAAACCAATATCAATTGGGGATTACGTTTTATAAACTTCACAAGTGGTTCAGACGAAAACGCGTCCGTTTTATTGCACAGTAGCACAATCCTTTCCAATTTCAGTTGACTGTTTGATGCAAGACTTTCCATTAATACATCAAGTGGTAAACTAAACTGCTCGTATCTGAAAAGAAACCTTGCACTAAATAAAACTCTTACGCTCATACCGTAAATCCTTCAACGCTTTCCAGAAAGGTATAGACTTACGCAAATCTGTCAAAAGAGTAAAACTGTGATGTTGTAAACGTTTCATCCAAAATTTCAATGATGTTAAATTGGAACAACTTTTACATATCTAAAAATTGAGTATCACACATATACTCAATAACAAATTATGAGATAATTTACATCCAACAAATACGTTCTGTCTCTGTCAATATTCGAGTATTCTAAAACTAAACTCTTCAATTTAGACAATTTGCCTATGCAGGAATAATCAATAGCATTTGCCACTGTCCCTCCTCGCCTACAAAAACAATGAAGACAATACATCAGGTTAAAAAAATAACTCACTCGCAATCCAGAATTTCCAATTCTTCAATTAAAGGTGAATGTTCTACTATAGCATCTAAAGTGCTTTGTGCAACATGAACTCTTGATATTCTGCTGCTCTTAAATAATTCTGTGCGGGAGTGCTCTACAGAGAGCTCATGATTGCCTATAACATAGGAGTACTAAAAAGTGGAATCTCACTCTATGAGCAAACCTGTCAAGATGCATCTATTAATGCTAAGTTTTCGTAAAAATCTAGTATTTGGCAATGCTAAAAGTGCAATTACAGTCGGTTTAAGCACCTCGGAACAGAGACGCTTGTGAATGAAGGATAACTCTTGAAATTGTATGTCATCGAGAGTAGCTTGTTTATAAACCAATTTCTATAAGCCATAAACTATGTTGAAATCAATCGTAGGTTATTACAAAATGTGGTAGAACTAAACAGGCTTTCATTTGATACCAAACCCACTCAATTCATTTTTTTTATTAACCCCCAAACTGAATTCTGTATACTTACACATGAACTTATGCTGTCTCAGAAGAATACATTTTTTCTCTTTTTGTCAGAGACATCAAAGAAAATTTTTGTAATCACGAACTGACTGGAATTCAAGTTAATAAGATACATGATATTGTTTTAAATGTTGCCATTTTGGGCGATATTAAAATCAATTTAGCCACAAGAAATCAAAAGTATTCAGGTTTCTCATTGTTATTATATAATCATAAGAATAATAATCATTTTATTGCTCAACCAATTATAATATTAATTTTCTCTGTCTTCTTCATTCAGAGCAAAAATACAACCAAATGTAAACATTTTTTGGTTGTAAAACACCCTTTAGAATGCGCCCATAAAACTACAAATTTTGTGGTTTAAACACTTACTTTCGCATCATGCAAACTAAATGGGTTATCACAGTTGAGCTCATTTAAATATCTATTCCACTCGACACATCCAACAGTTTCATAAAATTCACTTTTGTATATATCACAAATTTCTGAATTGGTGCTTTCTAAAAAATATATATAAAGTGTATTATGTATAAACAGTCTAAAGCATACCAATACACAAATTTGCTTTACCCCTATGGCACATAAAAGCGATATGGTGTTTTTTGTCAGAGTCGGTAAAATGAGTATTACGCATAATCACGAGCCTTTTTAACCTTTCGAAATTAATATAAATTCGGTCCTCAAGACGTGGCGTATCGGGTGATCGTCCTACATCTACAACCTAAAGGAGATCAATAAATGACTTCTGAAACGATTTGCAATACCCATAACTCTTCTAATTCTTCACACTCCTGTATAAAAGGTACTATTTTAAATCTCCTAAAATTCCAGTAATGGACACATAACTTTTTAAGATTTCTTATAGGATCGTAGCAAGCTGCAGATGCATCAGTATCGGTAACTGTAATTGCTAGTGTCTTCAACTAAAAAAGTAAAATGGCAATCTACAAAGCTTGCTTATTAATATCTTACCTTAAGTTTGTTTTTGCTGCAAATATCATGCAACCTTAGGTTTGTATCTAAAACGTACAAAGAATCTAGCATATCCAAACTTAGACACCTCTTCATTTCATTTCTAGGTATCCAGTAGACGCAATTTAAATTTAAAGAGGTGATAATTTCCCTCCGTAACTTGTGCAGATCGTTCCGCAGGTGGACGAGTTTAAAACGATAATCGTTGTAAAAGCATAATGTGCTGCAAAGGCTAACATGCAAATATGGACAGGTGTATAATTCCAATTACCTGGACAGTTGCTTATCAACAGAGAGACTTGCAAACTTTTTTGAAACTTCTTTTAAAGTGATTATGGTGAAACTATCGAGATGCTGGAAAACCATTAACTTTATTTCATCGGGTAGGTCACTTAAGTAGTCGACTTGTGCATCATCCATTATTCTTATACAGATATAGATCAATGAAGATAGCAGAACACCTCCCCCCAGTCAACAACTAAAGAAAAGCTAAAATACAACCCATAAATAACGCAGGAAATATTACAAATAAAACAAAATTAAAAGTAGGGTTATAATTACTCTTGTTCAAATTGTGCGCCTGTGTCAAGGTCATTTGAAATCTAAAACCATAGGCGCCGGTAGTAAAAATTTAGAAGGGCAATATCAAATAGCCAAGATTTAAAATACAGTCGTAACCCAATTTCATTTCGTCTGTGCTTTACGTAAACTACTATCAAAATCTTAAGCACTTATTTATTATTAAAGACGATTTATTATTATTATTATTTAATAAAAGTGTTTTACATGTAGAATGAGGAATACGTCTGTAAAGCTAATTAAAATGAAACATTAAAAATATGTTGCACCTTTGAGGCCTCTTTCACAATCTGTCTAGTACATTTGAAATGCTCTGCAAGACCTATAACGTTCTAGAAAACGCACAGAAAGCTGTAGGTGGTCCGAGTAAGGTTTATAGAAAGCCTGGAATAGCGCTGGACTGTTGTCAAAAGGAGGTATAAGCTCTACGAAAGATCTGGATGGTTTTGCTTGCTCAGGAAAACATCTGAAGGCTCGTTGTAATGCTTTTGGCGGCGTTGTAGATCCTTTCCAGAACTCGACGATACTAAGAAAGTTTTAAATTTTAAATTGCAATTCAATAATTTCTACATATTTTCTTGTTAACGGTAGAATCCAAATCAATTCGTACTTTTTCGATCAGACTTCTCAATCAAAAGTTATAGACTAGAAACCAATTTCGAAAAAAAATTCAAAGGGCTGTAACTTTTGAACTAATAGCCCAATCTTGGAACTGTTTGAAATTATGGATTCTACAGGCCACATTCTATAAGAAATTTTTTTTTCCAGGTCGATCTGAGACAATTTTTTCTTCGGGGCTCAAAAAAAGGCAAAGTATAACCTTCCTTTTTTTACCAAAAATCGACTACACCAAAATTTCTCGGGAAAACATTTTTTCTTATTAATTTGGGTGCGTAGAATCCAAATCAATTCGTACTTTTTCGATCAGACTTCTCAATCAAAAGTTATAGACTAGAAACCAATTTCGAAAAAAAAATTCAAAGGGCTGTAACTTTTGAACTAGTAGCCCAATCTTGGAACTGTTTGAAATTATGGATTCTACAGGCCACATTCTATAAGAAATTTTTTTTTCCAGGTCGATCTGAGACAATTTTTTCTTCGGGGCTCAAAAAAAGGCAAATTATAACCTTCCTTTTTTACCAAAAATCGACTACACCAAGATTTCTCGGGAAAACACTTTTTCTTATTAATTTGGGTGCGTAGAATTAACGTTGAATTTGTTGCTTTTAATAAAGGGGTTTTATCACATTAAAGTACAGCTACCTACCTTGCATCTTCCTCTCGCCTGTTTTATTTATGTTTATCACGCTTTATTATCAATCATTTAATGCAACAAATTATCTTCCACATTGACACTTTCACGATTGCTCACATTATTTTTGGACTATTAAAATAACTGATCAAAATATAAAAACTTACCTATAATCCAGTCTGTAGGTAATTTTGCCCTACAAAAGGTGGAGTAAAAGCCATTTTTACATATGTTGTTAAGGTATCAGGGGCTTATAAAAATCCAAATTTTCGACCTTGAGAGTCAAAGGCTCTTGCCGCCATCTTTAATAGAAAGTGCCGAAATTAGGTTTTTTCTCAATAACTTCTTAACCATAGATTTCTTGTCAAAAGTGTCTATGGGGAGAATAGAGAGGACAAAATTCCCTGCATTTTTTGTATTCATGTTTATTCTGTAATTTTTATGATAAAAAAGTTAGAGAGGATCGAATAAATGCCCAACCCTATATTTTTCATTATTTTTACGCGGGTTAATCGTAACCACCAGGCACGAGACCTGGAAAGGGAAAAACTGCTGAAACACGGTATTCCGCTAATAGTTTTAAATACAAAGAAGCTGCTAACAACATTTTGTTTCTGCATGCATTTAGTGGCTGCGATACTACATCAGCTCTCTTCAAGCAAGGCAAAATTAAATTCTTTACCCTTGTTGAAAAAAATCCACAACTTAACGCCATCATTAGCATCTACAAAGACGAAGCTGCAAAACCAGAACAAATTGAAGACGCTGGAGCACGTTTTCTAATTACTTTATACGGAGGTGATATGAATAAACAATCCTTAGAAGAAATTCGATACGAGAAATTCGCAAAATGTTCAATAAAAACTAAGTTTAATCTTGCTTCGTTGCCACCGACAAAGGATGCCGCAAAATATCATTCGTTTAGAACATATCACCAGGTTCAAAAATGGTATGGGATCTTGAAAAACCCAGAAGACTGGGGCTGGAGACGAGATAACAATGGGCTCACTCCAATAAAAACAACACAGAAAGCAGCACCTGAGTCGCTATTAAAAATAATTTCTTGCCACTGCAAAAAAGGGTGCAGCAGAGCATGCAGCTGCAGAAAAGCTGGTCTGAAATGCTCTATTGTATGTGGGTTCTGCAGTGGCCAGTCATGCGAAAATACGCAAGAAGTTTGGATGGATGAAGAATCAAATAATCAGTTTGGTGCCGAAATTTCGGAATTGGAATCCTACATAATCAGAAACACTGACAGTGATGACAATGAGGATGAGACAAAAATTGAAAATTCTGGCGATGAAGTTTTCAACATAAACGTACCCGGGCCATCAAAACGGATGAAAAAGTAATGATTACCTACACGTATTTATAAGAAAACACCGAATTAATGTCTTTTTTTATAAAAATATTTTCTTTTGCCGCTTGTAACTTTTTACCTATTAGACTGAGATAATAAACATGACTGTAAGAAATGTAGATAATTTTGTTTTTTATATCCTTCCCATAGACACTTTTGTCAACCAGTGAACTGTTAAGACGTTATTAAGAAAAAACATATTTGGGCCCCTTCAATTCAAGATGGCGGCTAGCGCCTTTGACTCTCAAGGTCGAAAACTTGGATTTTTATTAGTCCTTGATACCTTAACAATATATGTGAAAACTGCTTTTACTCCACCTTTTGTAGAGCAAATGCTTTTTTAATTCCCCACAGAATGGCCTATATTGAAAATACGAATTATGGTATACCATTATAGTGTTTCATTTTGCGTCGTTTCCCTACCGTATTTCAGGTCATAGCGGCGTGTATGTACAACTAATGTAAGGGTGTATTAGGTGTTCGATCACATTACACTATATATTTGACTTAAAATTTAAGCGGGATTGAAAAAAACCATTGAATTCTCTCGAAAAACCTTAAATACAAGGTTCTGAAAAGTTTTCAAGAAAGGGATTATTCAAACGATCTGAAAAGCACTTTCCAAAGCTTATGTGCTTGCACGATTCTGTTGTGATCTTTTTGGATCTTTCGAAAGCTATTAGAAAGTACATAAAAGCTAAGAGGTCACTGAAAGTTTTATAGGCGCTTTCCAAAGCGTTCGAAGAGAGCAAGACAAAGCTTTCAAGATGTTTCAATGTTTTCCAATGTCCAAATGTGTTCCTTGTACACCGCAAGCTCTTCCCATTGCAATTGACAGCTTCTTAGCCATATGCAAATCTTGCGAGAGGTTTCACAACGCTTCAAAAAAACCAGCAGAAAGCTCTAAAAGACTCAGAGTGCTCTGGAAAACTCTGCAGCGGATTTCCAAAACTTCTAGAGCACCGCGGATTTTTCTTGCCATTTCTAAAGCCAGGGACTGCCACTAGAAATATTACATTTCATATGAATTGACTACGAAGACATTTGTTTCGCATTGGCTACCTATCTAATACTCACAGAAGGTAAAAAATTGAAGAGCACCACACTGCATTTTTCATAGTTTACCGTTTTACTTCAGTTCAATGTGGGACTAACACAGCATTATGGATAAGAAAAAATTTCTCCTGATAAAATACAAACTTTATTATTGTTAGACATAAACAAACAATAGGAATACTGTAGTTCACTAAAACATAACTAATAAAACAGGCAGCGTAAAACAAGCTCTATAGCGGCTTCTTCTAGATCTCCACATAATTTACAGATCATATGTTTTTGTAACAACGGAATTGCCTCTTTCGTTACGACTTACCTTCCAAAAATAATCCACCTTGTCTACACGAGATAGGGCATGAATAAACTCTTCGTCGTGCGTAATAATCAACAGCTGAAAGTTCTTCTCCTCCTGCCTCGCGTTCACAATCTTCGCGAGCGCCGTACTCAAACTTTGAATATTCGACCGGTCCAAATTCGTCGTCGGCTCGTCCAACGCGAGAATACCGCAATTCTTGCTGAACGTCTCGGCGAGCGCCATTCGAATAATCAAGCATGCGAGGACTTTTTGACCGGCGCTACACCGACCTCGCATTTCAATTTCGACGTCCGATTTAATCTGCACCACCTTGTAGTTGTAACTGCGCCGTAGACCGGTCGCTTTAGTTTCGTCTGTCTTTATTTCGATGTAGTCGCAGTCGTTGCCTCGATAAATGGAGCGCCATAGCTTTCGAATGATTTTGTTAATTTGATCCATGCGCTCTTGGTGAAATTTGAGTATGCCGTACTCGAGGGCTCTTAAGAATAGATGTAGATTTTTCGCGCCGTCTTTTATAACCACGTGAGTGATTAGAGCTTTTTTATAGTTGGCGTAAGCGTTTTTATATTCAGACGTATTCAGCTCGACGCCGATTTTGACAATTTCTTGTTTTAGGATATCTGTTTGCCCAACGCACTGACTTATTTGTCTGCTGTACTCTTCCTTTTCCTCTTGTAGTCTTCTCTTTTCCTCCAGAATCGTACGATAATTGTGATCGCCGATCTGACGCTTTAAATTTTTTATATCGCCCTGTAACTTTTCCTCTTCTTTCTTTTTTTGACGAAGTAGAAGATTGTCATTCAAATCTCTTAGTCCGCCATCTTGGCTCGCTATTTGTTTATTAATTTCGTTGATCTTTTCTAATGTGTTTGTTTTGTTTGTTTCTAATGCCATATTTTGTTTTTTAATATCAGCAAGTTCTTCTACGGTCGCTAGGAAAGATGCATCGACGCCTGTCGCAACATAAGAATCGATATCCTTTTGTAGTTTCTTAATGTCATCTAACAATTTCTTATTGGAGCTTAGCTGTTGTTGCATTTGTTTCAATTTTTCTCGGTTATCATTTTTTGTTGTGTCTCGTGTTGTTTCGGCTTCTTTAAGTTCACTTCGAAGAGGAATCAACAACAAACCCAACTCCTCTATTTCTTGCTTCAGTACAAGTTCTTTATCAGATAACTCGGCCAGCTGCTCTTGTAATTGAGGTTTTCCTTGCATTGCTTTTTGTATTTGCAATTGCTGTTCGACGTGTCTACTCCTTTGCTCGCGCAATTGCTGACACGATTCGCTATGTTGTCTTAATCGTGTATTTGCCGTTTCAGAATCTCTACGGACAGTCGATAACTCTAGCTTGTTTTTTTCCAATTCTGCTTCGGTTTGTTGCCGTGAACGATTAGATGACACCTGTAAATAGTTCAAATAATTCTTCTAGTTACTTTTGACATCGCACGAGATAAACTAGTATATACCAGGGTCTAGGCCGACATAGGCGTCTTCCATGTTAACAAAGTAATGGAAAAAAGTTTGATTTAGTAAAGAAGTTTGTTACTCATGGAATTTCGGATACAAAAAGTGTGTGTTTAACAGGAGCGTAAAGCTGAAGCGATTCGGTTTCCTCTCCTTAAATAGTAAAGTCAACCGTTAACTCAACTTGAATTTTTAATTTCTTTAAAAATGATTAATAATAATAATTGATAAAACACTAACCTACTCGTGGCTAATACAAGGTCAACTTTTCCCAGAAACGGAGAGATATATCAAGGCGATACAAGATAAAGTAATTGCCACGCGAAATTATAGAAAAATTATTCTGAAAGAAAGTATCGACACAGATCATTGCAGAAAATGTGATCTATACAGTGAAAGTATTGAGGACATTACAGGAGGATGTAAAATGCTCGCGGGTACGGACTATACCGAGCGACATGACACCGCAGCGAAAATCCTCCACCAGGAGCTTGCATTAAAGCACAAACTCATACCCACACGAACACAATATTACAAATATACGGCAACAAACATCCTCGAAAATGACGAATATAAATTATACTGGGATAGGACATTACACACAGACAAGACAATACCACATAACAGACCAGACATTACACTTATTCACAAAAGAACTAACAAGACACATCTAATAGACATAGCAATACCAAACGACGCGAACCTTCTAGACAAGGAGCAAGAGAAAATTGCAAAATACACTCCACTTGCAATTGAATTAAAAGAGTTATGGAAGCAGGATACAGTGACAATAGTACCAATTATAATATCCGTTACCGGACTAACAGCGAAAACTTTTACACGCTACTTGCACGCGTTACAACTTCCGGAATACCTGCACACCAACATGCAAAAGGCCATACTATTGAAACGGCTAACATCGTTAGAAGGTTCCTTAACCAATGACAAGCCACATCTGCATGACGACTTGGTCACGACCTGTCTCATGTACCACAACCACTATAAGTGTGCAAATAAACAAATAATAATAATAAAGCCAAACAAACCCTTACACAATGAACAACGCCACTTAATTAAATTGCTAAATTTGCAAAATCTTTTTTATAGCGTTGGTTGTTGTGGCTATCAATTTTGGTAAGGATGAATTACATACTATTCCTATATTTCTTTAATGTGTAGTTTTTTTTTATTATTGTATAGACGAACGACGTACAGATAAACACTAATCGTTACTTGATTTTAATCCGTGCGATTAGTTAACCAGGCTAGAACTGAGTTCTGATAAGAAACACCGACCATAACAATAATAGTCATTTATTGGATAACGTACAAAAGAAACAATATATACAGGGTGTTACACGACCGTTCGAAAAAAAAAAAATCGGGTTGTAGAGGGCATCAAAACAAGCACTTTTTCCAAATAAACCGAGGGTCCAACGTGTTTCGTTTGGGAGCCACCCCCCAAAGAGTGTTGAAATCTGCATTTCTTCTTTAATTTTTTTCTCAGCAACCATAAGAGTTACAAAGTCGGGTGGCATGTCTTTGAATAGGTTTTTGGGTATGCTCTTTCCGATTTTGCAATTTTTTTTTCAAAATTCCTACCCCTAAAGGGCGCACCCCTAAACTAGGGTGCAAAAAAAATTCTGATTTCGACGAAATTTGGTATCTGGGGGTTTTTTAACATGAAAATCACGAATCTGAAATTAGTTTTTGAAAATTCGAAAAAAAAAGTTCCACTGCAATTCTTGGCGGGACAACGAAAATAGAGATAATTCCACGAAATTTGTTGTGTACATACTAAACGAGTTAAGGAACAAAACTGTCGAACAGTTTTTTAAAATAACTTTTCAAACAAAAGTTATACTCATTTGAATGTTGGTCCTTCGGGTCGCGAAGTGTCCCAAGCCTACTAGTAAGCCATAATTTCGCATGTGTTGGTTGACAATGTCGCAAAAACAAAAGATTAACGGTTTGAGTCGATATTTTGTTATTTGGAATTAATTCGGTCATTAAATGATTAAAAAATTCGATGTATCGATTAAAACACCTACCAAGGTATCTTAAAGCGCTGATCGATTGTTTATTATCTTTTTTTTGTTCTTTTGGAAGTTATTTTTCAACCTAAGGTTATGAAAATTTTTGATCATAGTGAAAAAGTATCATACGGAAAGTGATTTGACTTTTTCCCCTACCTTATTTAGATAATAAATAATCGATCAGCGCTTTAAGATACCTTGGTAGGTGTTTTAATCGATACATCGAATTTTTTAATCATTTAATGACCGAATTAATTCCAAATAACAAAATATCGACTCAAACCGTTAATCTTTTGTTTTTGCGACATTGTCAACCAACACATGCGAAATTATGGCTTACTAGTAGGCTTGGGACACTTCGCGACCCGAAGGACCAACATTCAAATGAGTATAACTTTTGTTTGAAAAGTTATTTTAAAAAACTGTTCGACAGTTTTGTTCCTTAACTCGTTTAGTATGTACACAACAAATTTCGTGGAATTATCTCTATTTTCGTTGTCCCGCCAAGAATTGCAGTGGAACTTTTTTTTTCGAATTTTCAAAAACTAATTTCAGATTCGTGATTTTCATGTTAAAAAAACCCCAGATACCAAATTTCGTCGAAATCAGAATTTTTTTTTGCACCCTAGTTTAGGGGTGCGCCCTTTAGGGGTAGGAATTTTGAAAAAAAAAATTGCAAAATCGGAAAGAGCATACCCAAAAACCTATTCAAAGACATGCCACCCGACTTTGTAACTCTTATGGTTGCTGAGAAAAAAATTAAAGAAGAAATGCAGATTTCAACACTCTTTGGGGGGTGGCTCCCAAACGAAACACGTTGGACCCTCAGTTTATTTGGAAAAAGTGCTTGTTTTGATGCCCTCTACAACCCGATTTTTTTTTTCGAACGGTCGTGTAACACCCTGTATATAACTAGTGATTATTAAACTAATAATCATTGACGTTATACCAAAAGGGCAAAGTGCAGATATGTAGTGAAAACTACAATCTGTTCTACCACTTAACCCTATTAATAATTTATTGTGTAAGCCAGATAATGGCAAATAAATTATTCAACATGGAAACAAGTGAATGTATCTGAGAAACGATATAGAAAAAAATGATAGTGATAGTATTTTTTAAAACAGAATAAGACTGGAAATACTGAAACTGAAAATAAAACACATTTATCTCAAATGCGTTTGTTGCTGCTCTAAAAGTGTTAATATTTGTTGGAATATAATTATAATCAAGTTTGATATTCATACAGCGCCAGCTTAGTATATAAGTAATTTTGAAATATGACAAAAATTTAATTAAAGAAATGTGTCATTGTAAGTTTGTATTAAAACTGATTTTCGTGTTGACTGATTAAAAACTTTCATTGAACTCATTCTGCTAATATTCTCACAATATTTGGGGTTTTCTCTGAAGCGTTTTTGGGAAAAGGAGTGCAAATGCCAGGAGAGGGAGTTGTATATTTTTGGTGCATTGTAGGTAAGACACTCTATGAAGGACAGTTTGATGTTTACGAATCAATATAAGGTGCTTCGTTCTAGTAAAATAAGTGTACAAAATCGTGCTGCGCATGCGCAATAGACAACTTTCTTATTTGCAATTTTGTACAAATTTTTACGGTAGATTCCTCTAATAAAAATAAACAAAATGAAATCGTATTGTAGATAACACCCCAAAACCGAAGACACAAACGTAAAATACCACATTTTTTGTGGTATATGCTCACCCTATGTGGTCTTAAAATGCTACGCATTTTTACCAACCTATACGATGAGATTGACTATTTATATTTATATTGACTAATTTTTTTGCACGAAGTAATCATCATTGAGGTAAGAGCCGCCATTACGTCTTTATCTAATAGTAAATGTCGAGACATATATGATCTTTCTGCAGAAATTGTAAAATGTCTAAGGGATTTAATTGTATTACCACTAACAGTGTTTTAGGGAAGGGAAGGGACGTTCCCAAAGGCATTGAAACGGTTTACCTTTGTTTAAAAAGGGTGACAAAGAAGATGTTTCAAATTATAGGCCGATATCAATACTTCCCATTTTTTCAAAAATTTTTGAAAAGATCTTAAAAAATCGCATACTGAATTATTTTGAGGTCAATAATATTTTTAATAGTGCACAATACGGTTTTAGATCAAAAAAGTCAACGACGGACGCCCTTGTAGATCTATCTAGTACAATCTTAAATACATTTAATGAAAATAATTATACAACAGCAACTTTTCTAGATTTAAGCAAACCTTTGATTGTGTAAATCATAAGATCTTGTTAAATAAGTTGCAAGCATATAATTTTGATGAAATTTCCATTAAACTCATGCAATCATATCTCGAAGAACGTTCTCAAACTGTTAGATATAACGGTTTATTCTCAAAAGAAATATGTGTACAGTCTGGTGTTCCACAAGGTTCCATTTTAGGGCCTGTGCTTTTCTTAATTTATATAAATGACTTGCCTTCTACAGTTAATGGACATTTTATATTATATGCCGATGACACTACAATACTAAGCTCTGGTTCTAGTCCAGAAATAACAAATATAAGAAGTATAGATCTTCAAGGGCAGTCCAAGTCTTGGTTCCACTTGAACAAGTTGTCTTTAAATGAAGACAAAACAGAAGTTTTAACTTTTACAATGAGAAGGGACACTGATGTAATTATCTGGACGCCACACTTTCATGGACACGCCATATTGAGGAGCTCTCCTCAAAACTGAACAGAACTGTGTTCTTACTCCGTAATTTAACAAACCATGTTTTTCCGGAAGTTACGCGCACTGCGTACTTCGGATTATTCCATGCCATAATGAATTATGGTATTTTAATATGGGATCACTGCTCCTCTGTCTCTAGAATCTTTAAAATACAAAGAAGAGTGGTTAGAATATTGGCTAACCTAGACTATCAATCTGATTGCAGGCAAGCCTTCACAGATTTGAAAATATTAACGTTACCCTCACTTTACATATAATACCTGAATGATTTATATGAAAAGTAATTGCCAAAAATTTAAATGCCACTCGGACTTTCACAATTACGATTCGCGAAATATGCATAATTACGTACCTACTTATTTACGTCTTAAAAAAAGTCAGTACGGCCCTAATTTTTTAGCCATAAAATTTTTTAATATGTTGCCCACCGCTCTCAAACATTGCAATGAAATGGAGTTTAAATCTAAAATTAAATCATATCTAATAAAAAAGGCTTTCTATTCACTAGAAGAATTTTTGACGAATAAATGTTGTGATATAATGTAATAGTTTGTATAATTATTATGTTTGTTTGTAATTTATTATATTCGTTTGTCTCTTACATTGCATACTTAAAATGACTTGTGTAAACACCATGTGTAAAACATCAATAAATATTATTACTATTATTATTAAAAAAGAGACTATCAATATATGTTGGTGCTTTTTTTGAGCCGAATCAAATTTCTTTTCGCTTTTTGCCTTTGAAAATTCCATTGACTTTAAGACAACCCTAATTACATTTTCAGAATAATAAAAAAAAAAAAATTTACACAGAAAACAGTTTCACACTGGTCCATTAATGGCAAGTTTTCGAGCAAGTAAGCATTTTTTTAAAAAAATTGATTGTTGAAATTTATTGATTTAAAAATTAATATCGGCACTTACCTGCACTATTTGTGCTTCCAACATCTGAACTTTTCGCTTCGAATTATTTATTTCAATCTGGTGTTGGTCGATCAGCGCGACATCGCCTATAACCTTATTACAGTTATCGATAACAACCTGCGGCTCCTTTATCTGCTCTTTTAGCTCGTTCAATTCCTTATCGACCCTCGCGTAGAAGCTTTCAAAGTTTTGTTTCTCCGAGGTCGTTATCGGTATGAGCTTCTCTTTTAGTTCGGCGATTTTTTCGTGAACAGGCTTCATTTGTAACAGCTTGTCGTGCTCGTCCTGTTTCACCTTCAGTCTCTCGGCAGTATCTTGCAGCTGCTTGGGTATACCTGCGATCTTATTCTTGATGTTGCGTATAATCTCATTGGTCGCCGATAGCTGGCCGTTAAAGTCGGTTTTGCACAGCGGACAACAGGGTTTTTCCTTCTGGAAGTCGGAAACGAATTTCTCGTACATAATCTTCGCGGAACTTAGCTGCCCTTTGTTCTTTTGCAAAATTTCGAGCTCCTGTTGCAATTCGGTGAGCGCCAAATCAAACGGCTTCCCCTGTGTAACTTTGATGAATTTTGTCTCATTTTGCTCCAACTCCTTTTCCAAAGACTGCAGCTTGTCCTTTTGAAAGCGGCACTTAGACTCTAGGGTAGTCGATTCCTTTTGCTTGTTGGTTATTTTCTTATTGAGCTCGTTAACGTTCCCAGTCTTGAACTGCTTGACATTGTCAACCGCTTTCTTGATGAAACCGGCGTTGGGGGTTTCTTCGCCAAAGATCGAATTTAAGATGTCGAAGTGCTTATTCTTTAGTTTGTGGATTTCGGCTTCGCGTTTGACGATTTCGTGCCGCTGAGTTTCCAACTCCGCCTCGGTCACATTGTTCTGCAGAAGAATCTTATGTTCGCGTTCCAAGGTTTCGTTCGACTCTTCCAACTCGCGAATGCGCTGCTTGCCTCTTTCGATACTCTGAGTGACCTCGTTTGGATTGAAGCTTTCCTTTGCGGTTTTTAAATCGTTGTCGACACGCGCAATTTTTGATTCGAGAGATTTCAGCTGCTCGTCGGAATAGTCGAGTTCGCGCAGTTGACTGTCGATTTCGCGCGATTTATTCTTCATATCCTTAATAAGTTGCCCTTTCGACTCGATGTCGTGCTTCGCCTTTGCCAGTTTTTCGCGACATTCGTCAATTTTCTCTTGCAACTGAGACTCATCGATGTCATACTGAATTGTAAGCGCCTCATAGTCCTCCTCGGCAGAGTTGATATGAGTCTGTATGGCAGCAATTGCGCCTTTGGAATCTTCAGTATCAACGGACAGATTCAGTTTTTCACCAGCGTTAGAGATGTTATTGTTCCGCTGTGCGAGTGTAAGTTCATGTTGTTTCTTAGCCGCTTGTAATTTGCCCAACTTAATTTGCGAGCGATCGATTGTTTGAGACAGCTGAGCTTGTTCCCTTTCAATTTTCACCTTCTCATGTTGACAATGCGCAAGTTTTTCTCTGATTTTTGCAAATTGCGCCTCGAATGAATCAATTTTCGCCCGTAATTCCTCATCGTCACCCGAAAATAGCGAATTAATGCTGCTACGAATAGTTTTTTGTTGTTCAACCAAAGCATTCTTGGTCGCTTCCATTCTCGTATAATCCGCTTGTAACTTGGCTAAATTCGTTTCCAAATCTGCTATCTCACGTAGACGACTATCCAGAGGAGTAATACGCTCTTTTTTTTCTTTAATGACTTCCTCTAATCGGCCGTTCTTCTCTTTCTTCTCATTCAAGTCTGAGTTTTTCCTGTCGACAATCTCCTTTACCTGCTTCAACATGCCCACCTTCGATTCTTGTATTTTTATTTCGGTTTCTTTCTCTTTAATCATCTTTCGTATGCTTTCGGCGCACCTGTTGTACTCTGTCGAGCCAAAAATCTCGTCGAATTTTTCTTTCAGCTTCTTTGGTTCTTCTAAAGGCCAGTACGCGTCCTCTTGGTGACAGAAGACGACATTATTCAAAATCGCCTTAGACACTCCTAAGATATCACAAATTTCATTGTCAATTTCGACACAACGGGACGAGATCAGTTGGGGTGTTCCATCTGGGAGCATTTTCTTCAGCGTACTGTCGAGCCTTTTGAAACTGGATGTTACCCCTTTATTTTGCACTTGAACCGATTTAATGACAAGATACTTGTTGCCTTTTGGATCTTTAAGTGAAAGACGGACTTGGCCTTTTGTACACATTCGATTGGAGAGCTTTGGATCGTTAACAAATCCCTGTCCAGATTTACTCCCACCAGGTATGTCACCTGAGCATGCAAATTTTAGCGCTTCAATGATGGTGGTTTTCCCACACCCATTTTCACCAAGAAAGAGTGTCAAAGGGGATGAAAATTTTATTTTTTGGGTGTCCTCCTCTGCAGGACCAAAGCTTCGAAGTCCGTTGAGCATCAATTTTTCTATTGTTGCCATCTGAAAATTAATACAACGTTAACTACCCGGTTGCTTGGCAACGAAGATCACAACAAACAAAAAGCAGCTGTTTTTGCATTAGTCTTGTTAATCAATAAATCATGTCTTCGACTGTAAGTGCATTATTAAAGCGTAATTGTAATTGCAAGCAACTCTTTTTAGGAAGAAAATATCGAGTTAATCGAAATTGACTCGTCTACGGCCCACAAACCGAGCTTAAAGTCAAAATTAAAGCTGAGTGATAATAAGGTAGGACTGTCACCGATTTCCTCACCAACCTGCAGTTCGGTAGAGGAAAGGTTGCCCCCAGCAAAACCGCCGCGTAGGCAAATGCGAAAGTTGTCAACGGGAACGTCGGAAAGCCAAGAGTCTAACGACATCAAGAATTACACCGAAAGCACTTCGAGTAAACTGGAAAGTGGATCGTACAGGGAGCGTTTTAAGGAAAGGTTCGAATACGTCAAAAAAAGGGCGGGACAATCCGTGTCAAAAGCGAGCAGCACGAAAACAAAATCAGAAAAAATCAAAAACTTGAAACGAAGTTTAAATTTGCTAAAGAAAGAGAATGAGCAAGTCAACGCCGACTTGCATAGTTACGAAAATGGCAAGCTTGCTCACGCCAACGCCATATCTCCATCCGAATCATTTGGTTTCTTTTGCGGAGAGAATTCTGGCGAAAATGTGATAAAGCGCAATTTTTTTGAGAGTATATTGTGATCATTTTATTTTAGGAGACGCATCCTGTTGATGGTGCCAATTTTGAAAAATCGACCGAAGTATTGATTGCCATTTCGGATGAAGTTGAAGAACTTCAATTTGTGGCACCCGAAAATGTCAGTTTCAATTGTAAATTATCTGAAAACGAATGCTTTTGGTATCCATCCAGGTGAGAATACGTTAACAGATGCACAATAAAACCTATAGTCCAGCTCTAAAATGATTTATTTTCAAAAAAAAATTAGTTACCGGGCGAAACCGGGTTTTTCAGGCAGGTGAAATGAATAGAAATTGGGAAAAAATAATTAAAACAGCTGAATTTTTCCGCGGGTGAAATCACGGGGGTTGAAAGGGGTGGAAAGTGGTATTTTGCAAATTGTGGCAAAACTATTGATTTTAGACGAAAATGTTAAATGTAAAAGTTATAGAGATTAAAAAAATGAGCAACTTTTGTATCTGCACTATTTTCACATAACCTCCAATTTTCCTAGAAAAACCGGAAAAACTGTTTTTTTCGTTTTTTATGCTTATTTTTGCGAAAAAATGTCGTAGGGGTTTGAAATTTGGAGGTAACATAACCTGTTTTATGATAAAACAGAAGATAATTGTTTGGGCCTATAAAGTTGAACCGTTTCCAAGATCTCACGATTTCTGTAAAAAATCACCTCTTTTTCAAGGGGATGAAAAATCTATTTTTTTTCATCGTACAGAGGTGCGCGGGGTAGCAAAATTTTCGTAACGACTTACATTTTAATAATCAAAAATAAAAAATATTATTCCAATAGAAAAATTTCAAGAAAAGCGGCAAAAACGGGGGGAACAGTTTTAAGATACACCGTTTTTGACAGTAGGTAAATAGGCTTTTTTCCAAATAAATTAACATGTTGGATCCGCGCTAATAAAAAGTTTTGGAGAATGTGTCTTCTCTCTCCTCTTTAATGTTGCTAAAATATTTTCTTTTGTTTTGTTTGTGAATCAGGAAGCAAGATACATAATTCGATTTTATTTCGAATTGCTTTTATTGCGGTAAAAATGCAGAAAAAAAGAAATAATAAAGATGTTTTAACTAAAACAGTTGAGCATAAGATAACAAAAGAGAATATTTAGGCAAACATTAAAGAGAAGGAAGAAGACAGATTTCGAAAAAATCTTTATTAACATCCAACATGTTGATTTATCATGTCAAAAACCGTGTATATCTTAAAACTGTTTTTCCGGTTTTTGGCGATTTTCTCGAATTTTTGCTATAGGAATAATTTTTTTTGTTTATTAAAATATAAGTCTTCCCGAAAATTTTGCTACCCCGCGCACCTCTGTACGATGAAAAAAAATAGATTTTTCATCCCCTTGAAAAAGAGGTGATTTTTTACAGAAATCGTGAGATCTTGGAAACGGTTCAACTTTATGGGCCCAAACAATTATCTTCTGTTTTATCATAAAACAGGTTATGTTACCTCCAAATTTCAAACCCCTACGACATTTTTTCGCAAAAATAAGCATAAAAAACGAAAAAAACAGTTTTTCCGGTTTTTCTAGGAAAATTGGAGGTTATGTGAAAATAGTGCAGATACAAAAGTTGCTCATTTTTTTAATCTCTATAACTTTTACATTTAACATTTTCGTCTAAAATCAATAGTTTTACCACAATTTGCAAAACACCACTTTCCAGCCCTTTCAACCCCCGTGATTTCACCCGCGGAAAAATTCAGCTGTTTTAATTATTTTTTCCCAAATTCTATTCATTCCACCTGCCTGAAAAACCCGGTTTCGCCCGGTAACTAATTTTTTTCATACAAAAATATTATATAGCCTGGACTAGATACTATTATACTATCTGGNATTATACAGGGTGGTGACTTGCGTAACGCATCATAGGGATTTCAATGTAAAATTCATAACATGCGATTATTGGCTCCCCAAATTATTTTAGAGCAAAAATGTATTAAGGTTTTTTGTAGGAAAAATTTTTTACGTCAATCAACCGTATTAGTTTTCAATTTTTTGCATAATAAAGACGGAAAATTGGAAAAATAAAACCCCATCTTTTTCAATAATCTGTGATGCCATGGAATTTTATAATACAAAAACTACGCCAATATCCGTCATGCCATGGAATGTCTGCTATAAAACAAATCAAATTCTATCAAAAAGTATTATATTTAGAACAGCGAATTCAACATAAAGAAATATCAAATTACTAAAAACGGTTTCATAATATAACAATTTACAATAAATGTTCGAATAAGTCACCATTAACTGCAAGACAGTAACCAAGTCGATCATAAAATCCATTTCGAACTGCTGCTAATTGATAACTGGATATCTTTTTGTTTTAGAAAATTCCATGGCATCGCAGATTATTGAAAAAGATGCGGGTTTTATTTTTCCAATTTTCCGTCTTTATTATGAAAAAAATTGAAAACTAATACGGTTGAATGGCGTAAAAAAATTTTTTCTACAAAAAACTTTAATACATTTTTGCTCTAAAATAATTTGGGGGCCAATAATCGCATGTTATGAATTTTACATTGAAATCCCTATGATGCGTTACGCAAGTCACCACCCTGTATAGACATTTAAGACAATAATTAATTCTCTTTTCAAAAATATAACACACTAGAATTGCGATTCAAAAAGATTCAAGTGAAATAACGTTCAAAAAGATTTAAAAAAAGATTCAAATCATTCAAAAAATTTAAAAAAAATGTTATATATTCGTTTTGACCTCGCCAGACCTTCCCATCGCTTGTTGTAAACACTCTCCTCCGATACTACGTTCTCAAGATATTAGCACTTAAGATTTTGACATCGCCAATAAATGTCTTGTCCAGACGTTGTTTTTTGCTTTTGCTCCGATATGAGGAATTATAACCGAATTCCTTTTGTTGAAACTGTTCGTTAAATTGTTGCTTTGAATTTTTAAAACGTTAAAGATTTAGTTTAGCTGTTCAGCAGGAAAATGCGGCTTGTATTTTAGGCACTTTACCGCAACAGACAGCATTTTTTTATATTTTAAGTATACGGTAAATTTTTTTTAAATTTAAAAAAAAAAATTTTTTTTTAAACAATTTTATTTGTAATATTTTAATATTGTAACCTTTTGTTAAATTCAGAAATATAATATTTTGATATTAAAAAATAAATAAATAAATAAATATCATGTTAAGGTCTCAAAACACCGCACGGGGGGAGAGCAGGGCCGTAGAAAAATCTATTCCATTCTATCATAAGAATACCTTAAACGATAGACTCCGTGGTTTGACATATTTTCACTCCCTAACGTTAGATTTGGCACCTTCATGTCAACCTGCTTCATATCTCGTACGCTCCTTCACGTTCATTACCCTTCTTGTCCTCGCACGTACTCTCCTTTGCCCCCCTTTCACCTGCTTCACCTTCATTTATAATTACTAAAATATCAAGAACCTTGAATATCATATCAATTTCTGTTTCTTTAGCAAAACCTTACAGCTTCATGAAAAAATTGAAACAGAAGAGCCCCGTTTCTTAGCCGAGGAGGGATTCTACATGGCGAACAAACCCAAAATACCATTGTCCCATTTGAACCTGTTAGAACGCCGATTGCTGGGTGCTGGTGACAGGTAATAAAAGTTTCCCAAAGTCATTGCATAATCATCCCCTTTAGAAAATGGTTTAATTGTGAAGGCGACTTAGACCTCGTCGAATGCCCAAAGTTGGAGCGTATTTACAAACCACCCTCCTTCAGAACCGCCCCTGGGATCAAGACGGAATTTGTAAAAGCATCGCTGGAACCTTTCGATTCCGAAGTAACACATGACAATATCATTGACGTGTCGATAGACTCAGTTACATTCCGGCACCATCCCCTTTTCAGCGCAGAACATGTCTACGAGCAAAAATTGAACACCCTTTTCGAATTGTACCAAAAGATGCTAAGTGAAAATAAGCTCGAGCGCTTAGCAAAACGTCTCCAAGCACTTCGTACTCGAAAAACTAACGCCGAAGCTATGGGAAATACGAAAAGCTTCGCCCTCGAAATCAAACAATTGCGAGATCTTCACTTTGAAGAAGGCAAAAATGCGAGACAGCTACTAATTTCGACGCTTCAAACGTGGAAGGCGATTAAAAAAATACGCCAAACTAACGAGTACAGCACCACAGCATCGCGCTTACTCATATCGAAAACCAAAACCAACTACACAAGTGAAATGGAAACGTGGATGGCGAAAGTTGACGAGGTCTCTTCGGAAATTTTGGATCAACTAGAGAGCGAATACCAAGCCCAAATCGATCGGTACTTGCAAGATCTAGAAAGGTGGAAGTTGCAGGACGTTGACGAGTTGGTTGACAAAAAGCCGAAGAAACCGATGAAGAATTATGATTTTGAGTCGATCAAGGAGGAGGTCAGTGCGGATTTCTTGCAAAGCTTCAAGCCACCTGGTGAACCCGAGGTGCACTTGGATCTACTGGACGATCACGAAGTTACGGCGGACAACGCCAAGGACAAGTTGCGCAAAACCGCGGTGGGCGCTACCAAGATCTTTTTAAGGGTCACTTGCGGCAAAGTAGAGGTGTGCAAATCAGGGGCGGTAACACTCACCGATCGATTTACGTGTCACATCGACGAGGCGTTCTCGATGCAGCTAGTTTCGGTACCCGAAAGTATAGTCGTTGAGATTTACGAGCAGCCGAGTACGTTACCGAAGCGGAAATTAGGGGAAGTCAGCGTTCGGATACCGAAGAAAGGCACGCCCGGCCAAGATCTTCACTTAGCATTTGAGAAGGAAGAAATTGTACACTACAAGCATACAGGCGTTGGCAGCGGAATTGAACTGAGCGAGGTTTTCGGAGAGGGTAACGAAATGTTGTACACTTCCGGCGCGGTCACAGGCAAAATCGCGTGGGATCTTCACGGCGAATTGCCCGAATCCAATCTTACGAGAGACGTACTGGGAGACAACGATACAATCGACATGGAAAAACTCGTGAAATGGGCGCGAGATACCAAAGCGGATCCGGAAGATCCGAAATACTCGACCTTGTTTGAGTATATTAAAAATTACGCCGAGGATTTTGGGCAGATGGCGGCGTCGCAGAAAACCTACTTTCGGTAAGTCGGTCCAGTCTCATTACCTAAAACCAATACTAGTAGAGAAACTGCGCATCGCTTAGGTCGACACTCGGATCATCAACAAAAACCACTGAACTAACTAATATACCGGAACCGGAACGCGACGTACCTAGTGACAGTGACAGTAGATGACTAATGTATGTTGGACCAGGAAGTGACGTCATACCAGAGACGAGGGCCAACAGCTTTTCCACCCGTTTCAACATCTAGTTGCACTGGTGCCGGTTCTAAAATATGTTGGACCGCTGCATGAACCTGTTGGACTCGTTGAAAAAGATGTTGGACCGCTTTACGACCCTGAATCCGTAGGAGGGCGTGCTCGTCTCTGGTCGGTTGTGACGTCACGCCCTCGTCTGATTGGTGTGACGTCACTTCCTGGCCCATAACATGCATTGGTCATCTATTAGTAACAGCAATAAACCTCGCGTGCGAATAACAGAGACAGAAATCTGCCTTGCGCGCTATCTCTCTTGTCACGCTAAGTTTCTATGCCAGTGATAAAAACAAATGAATTGCTATACGCATGAAACAATTACTACAATTCTTCAGACTGTTGCAGTTTTTAGGATACATCCATTTTTTGGTATGCTTCTGTTTCTTTGGATTTTTCGCTCCTTAAATTTCTTCTTTGATAATCGTTAGTGTTTCTCAGTTTCAGATTCTTTGGATGTTTTAGATTCATGTTCTTCAGAACCATCTGATATTTCATTCCTAGTCCTTCCTTTTTATCTGATTCTTCAAAACCTCCAGATCATGTTTCCCGCTTTTTCAAATATTCATTATGTACCTACTGGATTGTTTGAATTCTTCAAGTGCTGCCAAATTCCCCTTCTTCACATTCTTCAAAGTTTTCCATTTCCTCAAATTCTTCTTATACTTCCCGTCTCATAGAAGTCCTTAAATTGCTGAATTTCTTCCGGTTGCTCAAATTCATCAGATCCATCATATTCTTCACAATCTGTTTTCTTTGGGCCCTTCTCACTCTTCAGATTCCTCTGGGTTTTCGAATTCTTCTATTTCTTTGGATGTTTTACATTCTTTTATTTCTTTTTTTTTCATTTTCTTCATATTCGTTCCGTTCTTCACATACTTTACTAGGATTTGTCAAACTATTGGGATTCTTAAAGTTTTTCAGTTTCTAATTAGATCCTTAAGATTCGTTTGTTGTTTCGGATTCTTCTGATTTTTTCCATTCAAATTCGTCAGATTGTACCCATAACAACAAATGGTTTATATTCTTAAAATTCATCGGAGTCAGTTTCTTCGAATTCATTTAATTTATTTAAATTCTTCGTATTTTTGTGATTTTTCATTTCTTAAGATCTTCCTGATTTCACCGCTGCTTCCAATCAGAGTTGGAATGGGTCAAGCATAGAGTGACCCAGTTAGTTTACTGACCCGGTGACCCAGTTGACCCGGTGATCCAGCTTGACCCGGTGACCCAGCTTGACCCAGTGACCCATTTTGACCCGGTAACCCAGCTTGACCCGGTGACCCAGCTTGACCCGGTAACCCAGCTTGACCCGGTGACCCAGTTTGACCCTGTGGCCCAGATTGACCCGGTGACCCAGCTTGACCCAGTGACCCATATTGACCCAGCTTTACTCAGTGACCCATGTTGACCCGGTGGGCCAGTAATTAAATTATTGTTAGGTATCATCCAAAACAATTTCAAGTAACTTTTAATTTTAAAAAAAACTTCCTCAATAATATTCGCCAACAAGCACGTAGCCCAATTTCATTCAAGAGAACTAATACCTAAAAAAAATCAAATGCATTTGTTTATAGTTTTTAGTCAAGTAGTCAATGAAAGTAAAGCAAACATCACAGAAATGGCATCGAGTATTATTTTCAACAAACCAGCATTTCATTTATTTCATAATCTGTACACTTGAACCGAGGGCACTGACTTAACTGCGTTATTCGATCAAACTAGGTTACTAGGTCGAATTGGGTCGCCGGGTGAAATTGGTTCGCTGGGTCAAACTGGGTCACTTGGTCAAACTGGGTCACTGGGCCAAACTGGGTCAAGTTGGGTCACTGGGTCTAACTGAAAGGAGTATGACGTGACCCAGCGACCCAGTTTAATTCAGTGACCCAGGTGACCCAGTCCAACTCTGCTTCCAACGTCTCCAATTTCTATATATTACTTGCACTCTTCGTACGTTTCCGGATTAGTTGGATTTTTCAGATTCTACGAATTGTTTTGGGATTCGTTACGTTCGTCTATTATTTTCGGTTTCTTCCGGTTCTTCAAATGTATTCCATTTTTCCAGTTCCACAAGATCTTCACTCCTTGAAATTTTCCTGATTCTTGGAAGTCTTGTTAATTGTTTTTCGGGTCCTTCCGAATTGAGTGATTGAGGTCCCATTGAGATTGTCACGTATGCATCTCATCCAAAATGACGTAAAATATATGAAACTTTATGTGCAGAATTGAATACGAATTTTTCTCTTTGCCATTCTGTAAGAAATCTTGATGTTGATGGGAATTCGCAAGAAATAATTATAGAAATTCTCCCCGGAAATATCGTAACAAAATGTCTGAAGAGAAATGATCATTCAAAAAATCCAATGAAGAAGCTACTCCCAAAATAAAAAAAAATTGACTATAAAATATGCTCGAAAATATGTTGCAAAAAATTTTAGGAGGAATCCCGAAATGGCACCCTTCGAGTTTTGCGAAATGAAAGACATAGACGGCGATCTGCGTTTACAAATGCTACAGTTGAGAAATCGAAACGAGCCGGAATTCGTCGGCATGGTAATTCCGAATCGGCCCAAGGAAATTCCTTCGTGCGCGCTCGACGATTATAAACGTCGCGTCGAAGAAGAAGACCAAGGTTTAATGCTTCAAACTGTAGACTACGACAATGAGATCGATGGGAAAAGGTTTAACGGGGCTAAATGTTTGAAGCAGGTCTATACCAAGGTTTTTCAGCAGTGTAGGAATGCCCAGAACAATCTTACATATGAAGATATTATGAACGAAAAGGCAATTCCATTTATTGAGTAAGCAGTTTGGTTTCGATTTTGGGCGCGTAGTGACATCTACCTTTTAGATCCTTCACTAGGAATTTAATATCCAACATTATCAATTGGGTACAACTTCGTCCAACAAAACACTTTCTCTCACCGCTGATATCAAGAAAAGAATCGACTAAGATAGGAGATTTGAACGCCCCTGTTAAAATTACCGTAAACGTTAAAAGTGCCTTAAACATACCCCCAAAGGAAATTAGTTCGAACGGTAGACTGTCAAGATCGTCAGTTACTAACGAAGGTCTCACCAACTCGTTTGTTGTGGCAAGTTATCAAGGAGTATGCTTCCAAACCTCCACTAAAGAAGGGGAGAATCCCGAGTGGAACGAAGAGCTTCTGATACCATTAGAGTAAGTCCAGTTATTGTTGGCTCATGTAAATTGAGTCTTTACAGCCCGATAAATACAGACTACCTCAGTCCAAACTCTCTGAGCGGACACGTTCAACTCATGTTGTTTGACGAGGTAATGGTCAAAGTGAGGCAGCAGAACACCAAAATGAAGAATTGGCTGGGTTCTGTTGACATACCAATATCGGCGGTAGCAAACGCACCCAAGGTAAAGTTCAAATTCACCCAGTGTCGAGTCTAACGATCAGATTCAGATGGAGGGGTTCTTCAAAGTACGCAAACCGACTCATCTATTGGGCTACGAAGAAAACCGGAGCGTGAGAGGAGCCCAAACCTACTTGTCATTAAGGATACATTTGGAACCGAACGTGCCTAAATTAACTCAAAGCATGGTAAGAGGCGCCATTGTTGCTGGTTGCTGACGGGTAAAACATTTAGGACGAGTTGGAAAGTACAGAGTTGCCATATTTAAATCAGTATATATGGGAGTGGAACGAAAAATTCAACCTTGACTATCCCCACAGGAAGTTTTCCGCCCTTGCGATAGATGTTAACGGAAAGACCAGCTGCGTGACAAGGTACATCAGGGCGTTAGAGCCACCGCAGTTGAATACTAATAGATTCAATGTAACCGCTGAACAGTGCGCCCAATACGTTGCACTGATCCCTTTTACCGATAGCAACAAATTCTATCAAAATGTTTGGTTGACAACTGAAGTAAGTTGAGGTTACGCTTGCCACATGACAGTCAGAGGGAGAGTTTCAGCAACTGCTCAAGTTTATGATCGGCTCGGTTACCGATCACGCAATTGCCTTGGCGTGTTACCTGTCATCTCTCGAGCTGGAGTGTTGGTTGCTGATGGGTTACGGTATGGATCAAGGCTCGACCACTTACGTACTCGTCCGCGAGCACGTATCGGAATCAGAATTACCACTGTACTTCCTGTACGATGTTACAACCGCTACCAAATACAATGTTTTAGATACCAATTGTCCGTTACAAAAAATTTTCTGCGTCATTAACGCTCAAAATGTAAGCTATAGTCTGCGCCAAATATACTTGGGTGTGACTCATCGATGTATACAGGGTGGCCATTTGAAAACGAAACAGAGCCTATTTTGGGAACCTCAAAACATTTACGAAAAAATCCTCGGACCCGTCAATTTTTTATTCAAGGGGGAACCATTTTTTTGCTAGTTTCGCCCCCCTAAGAGCAAAGCACTAGCGGGGGTGACGACCGCCCCCAAAATTTTAAATCGAATGGGGGGTCGAGTGATACCTTATTTTAAAGGTATTGTAACGTGATTTATAAATTCAGGTTCGATTTATATCAATATTTATTCAACAAACTAAAACACTATAAAAACTGTACAATTTATATCGACTATTTATATCACACACTTCGCAATTTATATTTCCGCGCTCGATGTTGAAATCCGTACTCGATCTCGTTCGGTAGTAAACTTCCCGCGATGTTCGGTCCGCAACCATTTATACACGCAAGCAATGTAAGTCCAGAACACTCGCGTAATTACCAGATACGTCGCAAACATTCCCACTATCGCGCGCCTAGAAAATTCCAGAGCGCCAAAGGCGACGTCACGTCTGGAGCGTTTCCGTTACAGTATTTTTATGTGGATTATAACCCTTAACTTTTAAATCGCTACTAATTTGCCTAGTCGATACAGGGGCTAATAAAAGTTATAACAAGTTAAAAAGTAATCGTAAACGATTTACATAAAGCGCATTTCCACTTGCATTCATTTCCCATTATTGTAAAATGCAACTTCTATTAAAATCGTAAAAATCCGGCCACAAATATGAAAGATAGCGTTGCACATGGGCAATCCATTTTTGACGTGCTACTTCTATTTCAGTTTATGAAAAGAATTTCATTTCAATGCTTTTCTAAATAAGAAAGTTGGAACTGCGCATGTGCAAACCTAAATTTTGAAACTAATGTTAGATTTTCCTTTGTTCCAAGCGCCTAAGTATCAAATTTCACTTAAATGGTTCCATAGATTAAAAAAGTTGGCACTGCGCATGCGCAAAATAAAATTTTGAAACTGGCGCTAGATTTTCCTTTATTCCAAGTGCCTATGTATCAAATTTCATTTAAATTCTTCCATAAATAAAACAGTTGGCACTGCGCATGCGCAAAACCAAATTTTGAAATTGGCGTTTGATTTTCCTTTATCCCAAGTGCCTATGTATCAAATTTCTTTTAAATTCTTCCATAAATAAAAAAGTTGGCACTGCGCATGCGCAAAACCAAATTTTGAAATTGGCGTTTGATTTCCCTTTATTCGAAGTGCTTATGTATCAAATTTCGTTTAAATTCTTCCATAAATAAAAAAGTTGGCACTGCGCATGCGCAAAACCAAATTTTGAAATTGGCGTTTGATTTTCCTTTATTGCAAGTGCCTATGTATCAAATTTCATGCAAATACTTTTATAAGTAAAAAGTTTGCAATTCGGTTTATAAATGGTCGAGATGCGAAAAGGGCACTGTGAATTTGGAATCGATTCGATTCAACTTTTGGCATTGCGTATTATATGGCTGAAGCTATGCCCATATTGAATTTAATGCAATTCAGTTCATAACTAACGGAGATGTAAAAGCGATCGAACATTTCTAAACAAAGTTATCGTTCACACGGACAGATAGATGGACAGACAGACAAAGGAACAAACGGACAGACCAACAGGCAGACGACAGATAGCAATGCAAAATTATAACCGATCTCTAGGATCGTTAATAAACGGCAAAAGTGTAAAATTATGGAACATGTAAAAAACGGTTTTTTGTTTTTTTTTACAATAACTTTTTTTGTAAGCGGTACAGAAAAAATTCCTTTCTTGGTACAAGACTCGACACCATAACGAACCAAATAGCGAAAAAAGTAGAACAATAGCTCTTAAGATAAAGAACTAGTAGCGTCGCAAAACGAGCGGACGGACAGCCGGATGGACGGACGGACGGACAAAGTGGCCACAATAGCGCATTTTTTTTTATTTTTGTGGAAATGCGCTAAAAACGTGTCAACATTTTCTTATGGAAAAAAATGTTTGTAAATGAATTAGTTAAATTTTGGTTATTGTTGAGAGCGAGGTTGAGAGCGTTATTATAGCAACATTTTGAAGTTTAATAGTGATTGTCAATTGTTGTTGTCAAATCATAGTAGTGACAAATAGCACTTTAAAGTTATTTAGTTGCAAAATAGGTACATTGAACAGTGATAATGGTTTATCCACTTCCTGAAAGAGTTGAAATAAATGCTCCTTTTTCTATTGGGCTGATTCAAATCCCAGAATATTTCGTGTGGTGCATACACAACATCCCGAAAAATTGAATGTTTGGGCTGGCATTTCTGGTAACCATATCCTAGGCCCCTTCTTTTTACCTGGCAATCTAACAGGAGAGATGTACCTGGAGTTATTAGAAAATACGATTCATCCAGCATTAGTGGAGATACTAGAAAATAACAACGAGTACTTGGAAAATCGTCTAGTATTTCAGCAAGATGGTGCGCCACCCCACTATGCTGCAGGGGTTCGTCAATATTTGGACCAAACGTTTCCAGGAGAATGGATTGGAAGAAGAGGAGCTATTGAATGACCTCCTCGTTCCCCGGACTTAAGTCCGTTAGATTTTTTTTATGGGGGCATTTAAAAACTAAAATGTATGCTAGTCAGCCAACATCGTTAGACAACTTGCGACAAAGAATATAGATGAATGTCGTCAAATCACCCCAGGAGTTTTGCAAAAAGTACGGGAAAGGTTTGAACAAAACCTGTATTATTGTATGGAAGTCGAAGGCCAACATTTTCAACATTTACTTGATAGAGTTTAGCTTTAAGCACTTAAAATAAAATTGATTTAAATCTTAAGAGTTATAATCTACATAAAAATAATAATTCGATTTAAAATTTTGGGGGCACTTGTCACCCCCGCTATGGCTTTGCCCCCAGGGGGGCGAAACTAGCAAAAAAATGGTTCCTCCTTGGATCAAAAATTAACGGGTCCGAGGATTTTTTCGTAAATGTTTTGAAGTCCCCAAAATAGGCTCTGTTTCGTTTTCAAATGGCCACCCTGTATAGTACCTAATGTTTCCTGTGATCTTACGTCGTACACACATTACAAGTTGTTACAAAAGGATGGCAATTCGCAACTTACTTTACAATTCATATTACCCAAGATATTACCGGTAGTCTTGCATTAGCTTTTCATCTGTCAGAAATTGACAATTAAAATAGGTATAGGTGGGAGACGCGTTATAACAAAACGCCGATTAATCGTCTGAATATTAAAGAACTCGATTTTAAAAATGAGTCATACCCAAGGATCATAGTATGAATTAAAAAATTTCTTGTCTCAATTTCTTAGAATTTTTAGGTATGGGCCAACGTACAACGTACCGATCAAGTCGAGGCCACGCGTTTCGAATTTAACAGAGGCCTGGACTGGCTGCCGCTCTTCAGTAACCAAGTAACGGCGCCGACTCACTCCGTCCAACAAAAATTGAGTTACGCGCCGACGCCTAACGTGTCTTTGCTGGAAATGAAGATCGACAAAAAGATTCGGAAAAGAATTTCAAAAATGCGAACGCACGAAAGAACTGTATGGAATTATAATGTTACCAAGGTTTTTAAAAGCGAAATTCAAAACCTGGAAGATGAGTACATGTCGTTGAAACGAAGTTCGAAGGTTCGTTTGGAGAGTGAAGATTTGACAACTCGTTCGGTATGATTTGTTTCTTCTTCTTACCCCCACAATTAGCGCATTTTCCAACTCGTGTTGGAAAACACTATTTAAGTCCACTTTCTCCGTTCGCCCGTCCAAAGACAGTTTTCAAGATATTTAGTGCGTTCTTTTTGGCACCACAACCCAGAAGAATCTTTTGAAACTTTAACCACTGATGCTTCTAGTCAAAAGCACATCGCATATTGTAAAAATCAGATGTTCGCATGCGCAAACTGAGCAATGTCAACATTTTTATTTGTGGAGATATTTTTTGAAAGTTTATCCAAAGATTGTTCTAGTAAAGACAAGCACATCGCATATTGTAAAAATCAGTAATATACGCATTTGCAAACGGACCAATGTCAACTTCCTCATTTATGGAGATATTTTTTAGAAATTTTAATAACATCTTCTAGTAAACGAAAACATATTGCATATTTTTGCATTAGGTGTGTGCAGGGGCAGACTGCGCAATGCGAAGTTACAAAATATTTATGCCATAAGCTATTTTCCTTTTTACACATAAATACTCTGGGACGTGACCTGGAAAGTACTGATCAACTCATGAAAAATGAGCAAAAGTTATGTTCTAGGCGATAAAGACATCTAACTGGACATTTTGAGGTGGAAAAGAAAAAAATGGTGGAATATGTTCAGTTAGGTGTCAGAAACAACATATTAAAAATCCCACCCCCCAGACCCTGTGCTAAAGGCTCCAGCCACCCCACCATCCCCCAAAAACCGTGTTAAATAATTCTACGCACCCAAATTAATAAGAAAAAGTGTTTTCCCGAGAAATTTTGGTGTAGTCGATTTTTGGTAAAAAAGGAAGGTTATACACTGCCTTTTTTTGAGCCCCGAAAAAAAAATTGTCTCAGATCGACCCGGAAAAAAAATTTTCTTATAGAATGTGGCCTGTAGAATCCATAATTTCAAACAGTTCCAAGATTGGGCTACTAGTTCAAAACTTACAGCCCTTTGAATTTTTTTTCGAAATTGGTTTCTAGTCTATAACTTTTCATTGAGAAGTCTGATCGAAAAAGTACGAATTGATTTGGATTCTACGCACCCAAATTAATAAGAAAAAGTGTTTTCCCGAGAAATTTTGGTGTAGTCGATTTTTGGTAAAAAAGGAAGGTTATACACTGCCTTTTTTTGAGCCCCGAAAAAAAATTGTCTCAGATCGACCCGGAAAAAAAATTTTCTTATAGAATGTGGCTTGTAGAATCCATAATTTCAAACAGTTCCAAGATTGGGCTACTAGTTCAAAAGTTACAGCCCTTTGAATTTTTTTTTCAAATTGGTTTCTAGTCTATAACTTTTGATTGAGAAGTCTGATCGAAAAAGTACGAATTGATTTGGATTCTACGCACGCAAATTAATAAGAAAAAGTGTTTTCCCGAGAAATTTTGGTGTAGTCGATTTTTGGTAAAAAAGGAAGGTTATACACTGCCTTTTTTTGAGCCCCGAAAAAAAAATTGTCTCAGATCGACCCGGAAAAAAAAATTTTCTTATAGAATGTGGCCTGTAGAATCCATAATTTCAAACAGTTCCAAGATTGGGCTACTAGTTTAAAAGTTACAGCCCTTTGAATTTTTTTTCAAAGTGGTTTCTAGTCTATAACTTTTGATTAAGAAGTCTGATCGAAAAAGTACGAATTGATTTGGATAAGTATAAGGGTAATGATTACGTTGAGGTATAAATGAATGTGTGAATATTTTAATATGAAAATACTGTTTTTACGTGAATAAATGGTACATAGAAATACTTTGTTTTACAATGAATATTTCCTCACACATGAAAGTTGAAGGTGAAAGGTGACTTTACGCCAAATCTTCAGTTACCTATCTCGTATGAAATTGCACGAAGAGCATTTTCAGCTAAACATATTTCATCTAGCCCTGACGGTCGCGATATTTTTGCAAAAAACCGCAAAAAAAAACACGAAAATGATGATTTTCGCCTCCTTTTATGAATTTTCTAGGCTAAGAGGTACACCTAGGCTAACTCTGAGTATCTACCTTGTAAAAAATTTCACGAGGAGCATTTTCAGCTAAAAATATTTCATCTAGCCCTAAAGGTCGCGATATATTTGCAAAAAGCCACGAAAATTGATGATTTTCGCCGCTTTTATGAATTTCCTAGGCTAAGAGGTACACCTAGGCTAACTTCTGAGTACCTACCTTGTATGAAATTTCCCGAGAAATAGTTTCAGCTAAAAATATTTCATATAGACCTCATAGATCGCGAGATATCAGCCAAAAAGAGCGAAAACACGGTTTTTGGGGATGGTGGGGTGGCTGGAGCCTTTAGCACAGGGTCTGGAGGGTGGGATTTTTAATATGTTGTTTTTGACACCTAACTGAACATATTCCACCATTTTTTTCTTTTCCACCTCAAAATGTCCAGTTTGCCAATTTTACAGTCTCTATCGCCTAGACTATTAATCGCCTTACGGTGAAAAAGTTTCACTCAACCCGAGTTTTATATCCCACCGACATCATATGGTTTTTCAAATAGAACCACCCCTTGTCCTTTTGATTACTAGTTACCTATTTCGGTCACTTTTGTATGGATTCACTCAGTCCATAGCACCTTAGAAGTACCCCTGTCACCATAGCATTCTTTGACAGTCACAAATTTATTGTAATTTGGTTATCCCAAAATCATCATGAAAACAAAGGAGCCTGGTACTTCAATATGTCCTCGCCAGTAATGATTCATTTTCCCATCTTGTGAAAATAACTATTATTGATTTTTATCCTTTTTTAAGTGGACGGGATAGCGGTACCTACCCACCACACCATAAGACTTACAAAACTTCATTGTCCGAACCCTACACTATCTTGACCGACCTTACAGTTGCTATTTTTACACATTCCCTCAACATTTGGTAGGTATGTTTTTTGCTCAACCTAATCTAAATGGGGCTTCCTAGAATGCCATTTCTGAAGAATGAAACATTATAATAAACATGCAACAAAACAATTGTCACATTACTATGGAATATGTAATGTGTATTCCTCTTGAACTTGTCGATATTGATTATTAATGTGTACTTCCTACTGGAGCAAACTGAATTGATATCGACAACAAATTTGTGTCTTTCATTATTTTTATTAATTCTTGCAGGTAAATGGGTACCTTCTACGTGTACCCTACACAACTACATCAAGAATTGTCTCAACGGTATTGTCAACAGGTGTCCATTTACACCAAGGATTAAACATGGAATTCTGTTTGGTTGTGAAAGTGTTTGGTTATCCCAACCACGTCATGTCAGTATGGATTTGTTTAGCCAGTATGTGTAACAGAGATTAATAATAAACGCATTCGAATTACTCACCGTTTTTCTTGTAGTTGTAGCGCGTAATGTCCACAAATCGACGTTTATTTGGAAAACACAAAGTTAGGTTAGAAAGTCTGCGGCAGATAAAGCGCGCACTAACTTTTAAAATGGTAACTTCAGAGCACCAACTTTAGCATACTATCTTGTTTTGAAGGTGGCGAAAGGGGCTTATCGTTGATGATCCTGTGTATCTCCTGCGTAATTTTGCCTGTCAATTTGGGGGTTGTAATTAAAAAGGGGTGGAGAAAGAGAGTAATAAGGCGCAAGTTGGTCGGATGACTCGAAAGGGAAGTTGGTGGACCTGCTAACTAATTTGACATTTTAGAGTGTAGTGCGCAGGTACAGCGGCTGCTACCGTAATAGCAAAATTTATAAGAAATTTTATCCAAAATTTTTTAGTGTTATTAGAATCAGATTTATTGAATCTACACCAACATGAGTCATATTTTTTCGACATACAGCTAGCTTTCAGCTATAAACTTTCATCGTCTTTTTTATATCGGAGTGTAGCAGTTTGTTGTGTAAGCTTTTAACCGTAAATGTTTGTGCGTTCAGGTTAAAATGGATAAATTTTGGTGTCAAACAAACGTGCGATAACAGAATTTTAAGGGCAATGATGGGTGTCGAGTAGGAGTTTTTACCCCCCGTAATTTTAATTATATTTAATAATCCTTTTCGTTTCTCTGCGTTACTCCTTTATTCTAAGTTTGACTCGAAAACCCACAATGGTCAAGGAAAAGCCGAATTCCACGCGGATATACGATGAGGAGGGTTTTAGACGGCGGGCCGCGTGTATTTGCGTTCGATCGGAATTGGAAAACGAGGTGAGTTTTTATTCAAAAATTAATTGCGACGGACTCCATTTGGTATACACCACACGACGCAATGTTTGGCTCCATAGGCAAATGTCATGTGGTTTTACAGTCGCTCAGTATAAATTGCGGTCAATGTCCGCCGAGAAAATCAATGTTGTTCAGTTGAACAACTTTTTTCAAGGTCTCATTTCGAGCCGGCTATAATCTGATAAGATTAGCATCTCAACTACGTGTTTGCATAAGGAAGTACTTTTGCAGGTTTTGCTGGTAACATCATCGCGAAGGCCCGACAGCTGGATTGTACCTGGAGGTGGTGTCGAACCAGAAGAAGAACCTAGCGTAACAGCCACACGCGAAGTGCTGGAGGAGGCAGGTGTGATCGGAAAACTGGGCCGTAGCTTGGGTGTTTTCGAAGTACTACCCTCCCCCTAGCTCGCTTCCGAATTACTAACATTTTCCTTATAGAACACTGAGCATAAGCATAGAACAGAAGTGTACGTCATGATTGTAACGGAAGAACTAGAAGAATGGGAAGATTCACGTTCGATGGGTAGAAAAAGACAGTGGTTTACGATAAACGAAGCTCTGGAGAAGTTGGCCCTGCACAAACCGGTGCAACGCCATTACCTTCAACAGCTACTCCGCTCCAAACTAACTTGACTGCGCGCGCGACTATTTTACAATCGATGTACCGTTACTCTCCAACATTGTGCTTTTGTTACGGTTTTGTGGGTTATCATTACAAGAAATTTTGTATGCGATATTAATGTGACATTTTAATTAAATTTGTAGTTTTATCATTTCCGCAGTTCGCAATAAATCTGCTCTATACATTTCAATTCTTATAGCGATCTAAAGTCAATTGCTGGTCCCGGATATATGCCATCGATATACAGTGGGTAGATATGAAAAATAATCCGAGTTAGAGAGAGGACACTGCTGGTAAGGTGAACGTAAAAAGTACCCTCAAACAAAGAGTGATTGCCTGATGGGTAGGAAAAATTTATCAAGATAAAAAAAGAAAGGCTATAACAGGGAATGAAGCTATACTTGCTATAAATTAATTGGAAACACAAGCAGGATTGCAAAGAGCTAAATTTACATTTTTTGTAATTATTCACAAGTTTACAAATTTTATGGAAGGGGACCTTTTGGCGCTTTCTTCACATCAGCATGAATGGCACTCTTCACATTGATGTTATCTCGGAAATAAGGAAAGTGTTTTACTTATGGCCTATTTTCTACACGCCTTCCTTCACATAGCATTACTTCTGTGAAGTCTGCTTGATCCTTTTTCGTTCAGTGCCTCAAAGATCTGTAGTATGATCTTTGTGTGCCATGCCCTTCGCGCCTTTTGTCTTTCCTAGGAACTCTTCAGGTTCTCTTTACTCCACACACCTGTGGCGGCCGGCCAATGATCGCAGTTAAAGGCTTCAGAACGTTCAGGGCAGGAGAAGACATATACAGTGATATTCATGTTGACTATATTGCATAAAATAAAAGATAAAAAGCCTTCTGAAGGACGCCTAACTTTATGCAATCAAAATAACTACCTACAACAAATGAAGATCTGACTGTCATATTAATTAATTTGAATATTATCGCTTTGAATTCTATATTCTGATTTTCGTCCTTGTGCGATGTATTCAACTAAAGAAAAGGTTGATATTTCCAATAACAGCTAAAGGAGCTTAAGAGATTTATTTTCTGTGAAGAGAAAGCAACAATGTTCAAATTAATAATTAGTATGACGGCGAGATCTTTATTTGTTTCAAGAAGTTATTTTGGTTGCATAAAATTAGGCGTCTTTCAGAAGATTTGAAAGTAGACATAGGAAATTCCTATGTCTACTTTTAAATGAATATCACTATATATTGCGACTGTCAAAAAGTTCTATGCCCCTATACTTAAGGTTTACGCAAACCGACGCGGGAGCGGTACCGCATGCGGGAAATATTTCTACAGCGGGATATATGCGAGCACGCACACCGATGCGGCGGTTCGCACGCATATACCGCTGTAGAAATATTTCCCGCATCCGTACCGCTCCCGCGTCGGTATGCGTGGACCTTTATACGCCCGCGATTTTTAAATCACACGACAGAAAATCGCAAGTGAGCGTCTTGCCTTAAAGCATTGAATACTTAAAGTTTTATTTCCTGTTCTAATTCCACTTGCACGCCTATTTAAATCTTCCATTATTTGGTGTCTTGTTCAAGCCTTTTGCTATGCTTCCTTAGTCATTCATTAACACCCTTCACACACCTTTTTCTCAAATCTCAACACATTCTTCGCATTCACCTCGGCATTCACTAAATCTTCCTTGTCAACCCTACTTCTGGCTTCCGTTACGCCTTTATCACGCATTCAAGATTCCTTTACGTATACATCCTAAGCCCGTTCTTTGTTCTTTACTTAGCGCATTTCCACAAAAATTTAAAAAAATTTATTTTTTTGCTCATAATTTCACACTTTTGCGGTTTATTGTGCTTACAGATTTTATATGTTGGTTCCTTTTTGATTTTTGGTTAGCCAAAATATAAACGTGAAACTTATGCTCTACTTTAGCGATCACCACAATTTGATTGAGGAAACGGTTAAATACAATGATAGACAAAAATAAAATTGATTTGTTGGAAACCACGGTAATCTTTGGGTCTTTATGTGCACTTTCTGAAAAAAATAGATTGAGCACGCGCAGACCCAACATTCTTATTTATGAACAGTTTTTTTTTCTGAAATTTAGGCGAAAGTGCTTCCTAATAGACTCGGACTAAAAGCCACAATAAAATTATTACGCATTCACAGACTTTCATTGTTTATTTGTGAACTAATTCTACTAAAATTTCAGCGGATGATACTCGTATGAAAGCAAATTGAAATCACGTGTCAAAGAGTCACTAATTTTTGCGGACAAAAAAAACAAAATCGTCCTGAAACGGAAACCTTCATTTTCATGCCAACTTTCGGCCAGGAAATTTTAGTTTCCATGACAGAGGCAGAGCAGACTAAGTTTCCTGCCGCACCTGTCACTTTACCGGCATTTCCAAATGTCTAATGACTCCTGTCACCATGTTACAATTGACATTAATCAAAAGTTCTATATAAAAATTGAAATTTTATATTAAAAGACGATTTCGGGTAAAATTTAATACACTCGTCGGTAAAATGTCATTACCTGACTCGGAAATTAAAGTACTCGGCTCCAAAGGGGCCACGCACTTCAATATTTCATCGCCAGTAATGTATCATTTTCCTGACTTATCTAAATAACTATTTTTATTTTGTAAATCGTTTACAACTCGAAAATTAATGTACTCAGGGGCCTCGCACTTCAATATTTCCTCGCCAGTAATGTATCATTTTCCTAATTTTTATGTAAATAACTTTTGTAAATCGTTTACCTTTACGATTAATTTTTAACTTGATTTGTTTGTACGTCTTCGTTCTTCACTGTTCACGTCTTCTGCAATTGCCAATTACCGCTCCTTGTATGACGCGAGTTCTGCCGCCACTTTCACGCTTTGTTTACGTCCTTTCTTACGCCCTTATTTTCTTACCGCCACCCTCCCTTTAGCACAATTTGGCACAAAAAGTACATAAAAATAAGTCTAAAACCAACGCGTTTCGATTACGGTCCTCTACCATTATACTCACCAGTCATAAAGGGGTCGTCGTTACCGCCGCTCGCCGTCTTCGCTATGCCCAATATTGCCAGTTATCAGTTTTGAATCTGATGAAGCAGGGGGTGTACCTACCGAGTTCTTACGTACATAGTAAATGGCATCGATGGTGTACTAGTTAGGAGAGCCCTTGAGACTGGTGGCGGAACGCCCGTTGCACCTAGACCTTAAGATGTGGCAGTTCAGGGTAACAGCCATGATTTGCCTTGGGGTCCAAATCACACTTCTCAAACCACCACTACGGAAAACCAAGATTTTCACACTAGTTCTAAAGTGAGTATCAACTTCTCAAACACCCCTTTTGTGTAAAAACTCGATTTTTCTTTCTAGTTGCTTAAAGGGGAAAATTTACCTGATGAAATTTGGGGAAAATCCAACTTTAATTATTAATTAACAATCGTCTAAATAGGCCCCTCCGTACCACACTGCGCATGTCTGGCGTGTTATTTGTACAATTAGTCTTTAAAGTGATACATTTACGTGAATTTGCAAATAAGTGAAAAAAAGACACTTTATTGTTCATAGATAGGACTAACCGCATAGTAAAAGTCGTGAAAGCAAGTACACTTCCCATACGTTTTTTTGTCAAGAAAGTGTTTGGTAATTTGATCACTATACAAAAAAAATTATTTGGAGAACTTTAATTTAATAATTGATCATTTCATTTGGTGTATAAGGAGCGGACATACATTTTGATGTCTACGGTCGGCTGGGAGGATCTTGAGTATTTATTAAAGTACTATGTGTGAATATTTTAACGGGATAAAGGATATGTAAAAAATCACAAATAATTAATACATTTTGAATTTCCTAAACACGGCAAATAAATTTACCCCTTTAAGTTAAGAAAGAAATCTGCAACGTTGGTATTATTTATTGTTACAGGATAAGTGAAGAAGGTGAGTTCTTATTTGCAGTTTATCTTATAAACTATACGTTTATAATTCAGTAGAATTCCGTACTATAAAGCATAAAAAAACGATTGATTAGTATGTGGATAAAGCTCTAAAATCTTACATGTTTTCTTCTTTTTGAGAAGCTACCTCGACTATTAATGAACTTAACGAGTAGTAGATTCCTCCATTGATTGCATTTTATCATGAGTCTACCTTAAGTTTCTCCACTGTAAACCTGGTGCCTCGGAAGCGTCTGGAACTATAGGACAGGTTCCATTGAAAAAAAGTTTTCTAAATGTATGTATATATAAACAAAGGTAAATAATAAAATTTTTACAATAACAGTTTTTGTACATGTTAACATCACGATGCAAAACACAAATAATAACAACTGCTCAGGTTCGCACATCTTAATTCTTAAATCAGAAAATAACATACATCATATTTGGCAGGAACGCGCAAACCCGAAAAATGGAAGCTTGAAATTATTTATATTTCGCATCATTTCAAACATCAAGTTAGGAATACGTAAATAGATTAAGTAGTATTTCCTAAAGACGCCAACAAAATAATTAGCTGCGCAAATCTATTGCTAACTTGATGCGAAATGAGCAACCCGATTCTTCTAATTAAATAAATACAATCTTTACATAACAATGTAGGGTCCATATTATAAACTAGTTTAAATAATTGACTATGAACAATTATCACAGCCGTAAAATCATTCAATAATCCTAATTGCTTTAATCTCGATATCGCAAAAGATAAGATTACCCCCAAATCCTCTGCGTAAATTTACTACGCGTCGCAATTAAACGGAATCGAAATTAATGACAAGAGGCTCTAAAGTAGATAAAATCACAACCTTTGAACATCGTTTCCTACTTGAAGTATTGGAACACTCAACGTCGCCTACGGTCTTTAATAATCAAGGAACCATAACTTTAATTAACCCGGGGAAAATCTCGGCTTGAATTGGGCCATACTCCACGACTTCCCCATCGACCGTCATATAGCCCGGAGCCTCATTCACTTCGGGTTCTATTCTAAATGCGCGCACCGGAAATATTTTGATAATGTCATCCCACCCGTTACTATTGATATGAGATCCGGATGAGAGGCGTAAAAGGAACTGTACCACCTGCGACCGACTTGCACTCGCATGGATAACTAATAACCAAATAAGTCCATCATTTAATTTTGATTGAGGCGCCACAAACAAATCGGTTCCAATATGCGTTTGGTATGAGGCGTGGACCATTATAAATCGTCCGGCGAGACACTTCCAATTTGATGGTAGAGCTGCGGTGATGCAAGGTAACTGAGAGGCGGGTCCGTACATTCTGGGCTCCTCTAAAATTTTATAACTTGGACAGGTAAACAAAAATAAACCGTTTTACCTCCAGCGCTTTCGTTAGTTGACTGGTATGAGCTGCCGGTAGTTGAAAAGTAGGCACTTCGCCTAGATGCCGCGCTGTACCACGAATCCAGCCTCTGTCGGGTGTCGGTTGTTTCTAAAAGTACTTCACTCGGAAGATCAACTTTCGATTTCGAACGTAACGGCTCATATTTTTTTTCAAAGGGAGTAATTGTAGCATCTGCCGGTAAATAGTAGACTTTGCCGCTGTAACTTTTTAAACCAATGATGCGCGCGAGCGACCACAGCACATATCTCGGCTCCCCCAACGCTCTCAGACCTTCACTTTCGATATCTATGTCGGACAAAATTCCCCAGCCTACCGATAGGAACGAAAACAAAATTTGAGACGTCGTCTCTATCCTAACAAGGTCCATCATTTCGTTAAAGTTTCTCGTTGCGGCAATGGCCGCCGGAAGAGCGGGCGGGTTGTACGGCTCCCCCGAGCAGTGAGCGATACTCCGAGCTAGGCCGTTACCCGTACCTCCTGGAATTATGCCGAAGGTGATATGTTTTATCGCTTCGGCCCAGTCCCACCTCTCAAATATTCCGTTAATTACTTCAAAGAGCAGGCCATCCCCGCCAACCTGAAGCAAATTGTAATTTTAAAAGTCTGCATTCTAAATACCTATGATCATAACATGTCGCTGCAATCTTTTTATACTTATAAGTAAGATCGTTGACAGTTTTTTCCATATTTCCATTGAGAACTATAATGGACGCATTTATCATCAAAATCTTTGACGATCTTTCCTTTATGCCAGTGATATTTCACTTCATACTCATTGATAATCAAAATATGTAGGTATAGGCATGGATCCGTTGCCAATATTTGTGAAAATATCTGGGAAAATATTAATTGATAGTTTTGAATAATTAGATAGTGTAATTTGATTCCATGAGAAATTGGTGTAGAAATTTTCCAAATATTGCGCATATGAGATTTAAAATTAGAACTAAACACATATGAATAGTTAGAAGGTGAGATTAGATGTGTATAGTGGTACACACTACAATGTTCTCAGAGTAAAATAACTGTTATTATTATTATTATTTTTAAGATTATCGTTGTATTTAATGTTGATGTTGGCGTTAAAACAAATTAAAATCGTGCTAACAAATAATGGGAGAGTGCAAAAATGCATTCCATACAATTTGAGTTATCGCCTTGAACGTGACCGAAAATAACTACGTAGATTATACAAATGGCGAAGAGCAAAAAATGCGAATAATTTATACAAAATTGTGGATATTTTAAAAAATCTGTAAAATAATGATTTTTTTAATGTCTCGCAATTGTAATTGGGAGTCTTTTACATTATCCCCATTTTTTCGGATCCAGAATGACTTTAGCGCCTTAAACAAAAATGTGTTCAAGTTTCAAGTTACAAAATGTTTCACGGTATGGTTCACAATTTCCAAAAATTCCAGTTATATTCTTCATCCTCCCCATACAGTTCACGCTGACCACTAATTTCATTGAATATCTTAAAAGTGCAGATGGGTAAAAACAAGTTTTAACACATTTTTAGCGTAACCATTGAATAAGCACCTTAAAGAAGTATAACGCCCGTGTTAACTGACGAAATAAGAAAATCTGCCCAGGATTCTGTCGTCCCTCTGTTGTGGGGGAAAGTGAACCACAAATTTAAAGCTAGTTACCGACTTTGCAGATTTCTTTACTTCTTTAAAATTCCAACGTTGCCAAATTTTTGGCAAGCGCTTTGAGTTTGAATAAACTAGATTAAAATATTGAATAAGCTTTTATTCAATGCCAATAACAATATTATGTAAGGGAGGATCAATCTGAAATGTAAGATCAAATAAAGTAAAAAATGTAGTTTAATCTAATAAGAAAACAACAAGAACTGTTCTAAGGAAAATTATCTTTACATAATAAACAATCAAACTTTACCTAGCTCTATATAAGGATCTGGTAAATATGACAACACTGTTCAACTCTGATAAACAAGGAAAACAAAGGACCCCTAAGTATAACTGGTTTCCCTGTTTAAAATAGTCATTATTTACCGTCCGAGGCCAAATATCCTTCAATATTTGTGGTAACTAACCACTTTGCAGTGTATGCAACACACCTTACACCAATTTCAGGTTTTTCTATGTAGTTATACTTCTTTAAAGTGCTTATTCAATGGCGTAACACAACGAAGTTGAGGTAACGCTTATGTACTCGATTTTCCGCCGTCTGTCTGTCTGTTCTACCCTTAACCTCTGGGTCACCTAGAGACTTCAGGTTTTCGCTAATTGATACCTGATATGGTCTATATTTGCCCGTTACTCATCATTTACAGTTGTGTTACACAGTAACACCCACGAGCAGATTTTGAAACATTTTTTAAAAATTCAATTCTGGAATTTGTTGCAATACCTTGTTACCTATACCTTGAAGGTGTGCCAGACACCCATGAAATTTTGTTGGTGTGGGGGGGGGAAGGATCAATTATTCCCCGAGATACTGTTCTGAACATACAATGTGCATAACTTTTACATGCGACGACCAATTTGTTGTAGGGGGGACGCCGAGGGGACGCTAGAGAGTGGTTTTATTTTTTATGGTATGCTGACTGTTTTCTACTGTAGCGTCACGTGCACGATCCGATCACGTAATTTTTGCGTGGTAGACTGGTCCGCAACAGCCCCAAACACAAAAGAATATTTTCGGTTGGAATGTGGAAAAGCCAACTCTTAAGGTAAAAATTCCCAGATAAGCAGTTACACCACAACCTCCCTTGCGGTAGCACAAGATTCTCTAATAAACAAATCTTACTCAGTTTCTGTATTATCCTTTTTACGAAATCCTCAGACCCACATTACCAACCACAACCTCTTCCTCGAGCCCTTATCGGGATAATTTTTCATGTCTCAAGAGTGGAGTGTCGGAACAGTGTACTCACAAACGGCAAGTGGAACGTCTGGACGAGATACATCTACTGGTGATGTCGAAACTTTCAGTGCAAATATCTGCAGAATGGAGTGTCGGGAAAAGGTACTCTCAAAAGGCGATTGGAATGTCTAGACGAGATACTACTACTGATGTAAAAAATCTAACGTGACAAGGAGATCTTTCTTCCGGCACATCTTAAAAAAACCTTTTGTGCAAATGTGTATCAAAAAAATTCATTTTTGAATGTACAGCATGTCCCCTGTAAATGCATAACTTTTTGTAAATAGAACACTGTATTTTTATTTATTAACCTCTACATTGAAAGCTATTCTCTTTTTTCACAACGTTGCCATTTTATTAATTTTTTCCTAAAAATTCCCCTTAAGCAAACCTCACTTTGATGAATCATAGCGACCTTGTTTTTTGAAGTTAAATAAATTTTAGCAATAATGTTAATCCAAGTAAAGGACAACATTTTGATTATGAAAAATTTGGATTTAGTGATACAGTGTTCACAAACAAATGGTAAAACCGAGGGTAAAACCCTGTATACAGTAACATTCAGATTTAATATTGTCGACAAAACTTTAGTCTTAAAAATTATAAATGATAATAAATCTAAGTCGGTTATGTGACATCTGAAGTCTGAAGGTTGTGAATGTAATAGTAGATTACATACCGAGCTGGGAGGTGGTTTATTACCTACCCCGAGGGCTTAAGGTACCTCACCGACGTTGGTTATGAACCACTGACCAGTGAGGTTTGTATACTATTTTACTCACAATCGATCATTTAAGGTAAAGTATATAATTCAACAAGGTGTTACTTTAACTGTCAATAATAGTGACACCGCCAATGTAACCATTAATGTTTACAACAATAGCAAATAGTTTCGTTCTTCTTCGTAATTTGCTATTGTTGTAAACATTAATGGTTACATTGGCGGTGTCACTATTAGTATAAGTTTCATATAAGGATAATATGAATAGCATTTGCAGGTAAGGAAAGGGACAGATGCTAGCCGGGAAAGTGACAGCTAGCCGGGAAAGTTACTTTCCCGGCTAAGGTGAGTAATGAGTCGCTTCGCAACCGCTATGAAGGTTAGGAATTCAGATAATACTAACCGATTGTGAGTAAACTATTTTTTTCACTACTAGCGTCTGATGACATGATTATTAACCTTTTTTCCACTTGTAAAGTAGGCTTTCTCGGCATTTGTTCAAAGTGGTTAATAATGTGGACATTATTAACTACTAGTCAATAATGAGAACTGTCAGGCTGTCACTTTTAGAAAACACAACCCGAAATTTCGCTCAATAAACGTTTGGACAAGTTCTCTAAAATGAATAATTGCCACCATCCGCCATTTCCAGAGAAATTACATACCTAAAATTATCACATTTTGAAAAAATTCGAACGAAATTACTCTTTGAAAATATCTCAATGACAGAACAAAATACGGCCAGTTTGACTTGTACTTCTACGCACTTGATTGACATGTTAAATTAATAAACAAAAAATTCTGTCCAACCGTTCACTTTCTTATCAATATAATATGTTAATTTAGAGGACTTCAAGTGCTAGTAGTGAAAAAAATAGTATATATACCACGGTAGAGAAGTCTATTATTGCCTTCGCATTTTACACCCCTCGGCGCAAGCGCCTCGAGATGTAATCTTGGTGCTCAGGCAATAATACTATACTTCTCTACCTTGGTATATAATGTACTATCAAGCAGAAAATTATTCCTCAACATTTCCCATTCAATTTTTGTAGACTTCGGTTCACGTGCCGCCGCGTCTACAGCAGTAGTATAAATAGTTGACCCATTATCTCTGCCGAGATCACTGCTTAAGTAAAAAAAATCGCGGTTGATCTATCTAAGTTGAACCAAGCTGACGCTCAAAATAACTTTCCAGTTTATCGAACCAAAATATATAAACAAAACAAATAATAATAATAATAATATATATTGTCTTTAATTATCCCGAAGAGTACAGAAAACTAATACACTTCCACAAGACGAAGTTCAGTTCGGTAGAACTGTCTGTTCTTCACCTTAACCTTGAATAAGAACGAAGCACATTTATGTATCTCCTCCAAAACAACTGTAAAACTAAAATACATGTCAAATGATTAATGCTTGGATTAATGAATGCATATGCCAATGCAGACATCCGACCCAACCACCGAAACATGAAAAGACCACCCACCATACTGAATAGGTTTCAATTTCTGACTGGGCCTAAACGATCAGTAATCACCCCAGCTACTTAGAAAAAAATCGCCATCCACTGGCCTAAGGAACGAGAGCTTCTAATCAACCCTTAAATAATCACTTGATACTCACCCCAGTAAATACAGTGTATTCGAGTTAAGAGGGTCACCTGAATATCTCTTTTAATTGACGCGATACGAAAAATTAGTGAAATATAATTTTATATACAGTGAGTTTTTTTTAAATGCGAACATAGGAGTTTGCATGCAATGTAATTTCCCTATGTTCGATTTTAAAAAAAAACACATCAATCTGTGAGGTGTGCGCGGTTCACATTCCCAAATCGCGCAACTTGTGTGACTAGGAAAGCAACTCTATAGTCTTTATGATGAAGAGCACTCGGTAAGATTTTTTTTAAAGAAGCCATGTGAGGCCATAGCAACTTTAGGATACATTTTTGTTAAACTTACGATAACTTGACCTCACAGGCCACGCACTGACACCACAACTCATTGTGAACCAACCTTCAATTATTTGTAGGTCATGTGCACCTGGTATTCTACTAATTTGATTTATTCAATACATAAATGAAGAAAATAAGAAAATAAATAACGAAAACAATTACAATAAATGTTCGAAGTGTCCTCCTTGACATTCTAAGCAATAACCTAACCGATTTCGTAATTAAATTGGACGGCGGTATTTTTAAAAATGTGACAGCTGTCAATTGTATCTACTACTCATTTGAACTACTCAATAGATTGATGTGTTTTTTTTTAAATCGAACATAGGGAAATTACATTGCATGCAAACTCCTTTTAAAAAAAAATTCACTGTATGTCATTATGATCTATCCGACCGCATATTGAAACTTCCGGCATCACTTACGGTTTAATCGGAAATTGATGCAACTTTCAAATGCAATACCTATGATTTTTTAAGATATTAGAAAAGTGCAATCAGTTTGCTGTACCACAACATAAAATATGTACCTATATGTTTGATATAGCTACAACAAAATAGAGAAATTCGTGATTCAATCTCGGATTCAATATTTAGAAAACTTATGAAATGTAGCATCTTGTGTGGTTTTGCGCGTTGTGTAACAGACCCCGCACATGCACATCAAAAGTTGCCTCAAATTCCGGTTAAACCGGAAGTGATCCCGGAAGTTTCAATATGCGGTCGTATAGATCGTAACGTCACATATAAAATTATATTTGAAAAATGTTTCGTATCTCGCCAAATAAAAGAGATATTAGAGTGACCCTCTTATACCTCCAACGCACTGTATATTGGGGTGAAAACAATGTGGGGGGGGGGGGGAGATATTATTCAATTGATAAGTTTAGAAAGAAACATCAACGATTCTTTTTAATCAGTAAAATCCGAGGTAAAATCATTTTACTTCTATTGTCTATTATTTATTTACATTTTAACAATAGGAAAATTAGTGTTTTTAAACATAGACTGCAATAAAAAAAAATGTCCATGAAGAGATTTTTTTGTTTGTATTTTGACCCAGAGTACAATTTTTCACGCCAATTAATAAGTAAAAATAAACAGTTAAAAATTTCCTTGAAATATCAAAAAAAGTTGCAATGCGCCAGTGTACTGCGTAAGGACGGAAATTTTGCATCATAGTTAAACCCCAATATACTTAGGGACTCAGGGGGACTCATTATAAACCTGTGGTTTGGGCCTCACCAAGCTAAATCCGCCACCATATGTTTATGTTGGCTTCTTAATTGCTTTAGGAATTGGGGATTGGCTTTTACTAATCTAGTGATAAACCAACTTTGTTATTACCTCTGTTATTAAATTTTAATGCCGTACCTACTTATCTTAAGCAATTTGCTGAAAAAAACCAAGGTTATCTTATTGTCACTTTGAATGTTGCTCAACCACTCTTAACACCTATAGGTACTATTTATAATGACCTCATACAACTCATATTTTGCAAATTTCATGCTCCTCTGTTTTTTATTGTTATGTAATGTGAAAGTTGTATCTTATCAAAGTAAAAGCAATGCCTAACGTAAACAACATTGCTATGTAACACTAACAAAGAAATGCAAACAGGAACTCTTTCAACAGGAGTGTTTTTTTTCATTGCATTTCCTGCTTTGTGTTGCAATTCAATGGAAATACCAAGCATTACCAAAGCTGAAGGATTTCCCATGGACAACTAATTAAAGAGAATGATTAGTTAAATCATTAGACGTTTGTCATGGTTAAAAAAGTAATGCATACTTACGACAATTATTCCGGTCCACTGATACAACTGGCAGTTTCTGACGAACTCCCTCGCGAAATTCGCATACTGAGTTATGTGGAGATCGAAAGGAATCTCGGCCTCTTGTAAAATAGGAACTATTTTCTTTTGGAATAGCATGCGTCCCTTACCAGAGCCGCTCTTTGGACTGAGCAGAACGAGTAATCGTCGATCTTCCTTAACCGGTACAATATTGTAATCGGAAATGTTAACCATGGAAACCTCGTCGCCTCGGATTAATTTCTTCAAAACCATCCGCCAACGCTGGGCTTCTTTGTAATTTTCGTCGTACCTGTCGAAGGAACGAAACCTGAGTGTTATTGTCGTACGATCACGTTTATTCTGATTCGATCGTAAGATGTAAGCGTAAATGTAGAGATAGGCGCTCATGTCGGCGTCGTCGTGGTCACCCGACTTTTCGTCGACAACTTTCAGCGACGAGCCATGAGATAACGATTGGCACGCACATGAATTCCTCTCCTTTTTACTTCGTAGGCAACGACAGCCTATAATATCTTTAACGGGAATAATTTGAGTTTTCACCTGGTTCTCGTTTTCCTTAATTAAGTGTAAACCGGAATTCGTTAATTTAACGCGGAAGACGGAATTTTTCTTTTTTAGCACATAAAATGTTTCTTCTAGAAGTGTTTTGTTTTGAGCATCGTCCAGTCCGCTTTGTTGTATTGTACCTGCCATGTTTTCGTCAACCTTTAATTTATAAAGTGACAAGGAGCATTTGTGAAATTGCACTACGATCACTCCACACTCAAATAGCAACTATTAAATTTTAATTTAAATAATAAGCGCACCTTCACGTCACGAAAAACGGTCTATCAGCAGGAGAGGGGTAATGCAGGTCTGGTTTAAACCTCTACTAAAAAAAAGTGTCTATTTATGTTCCATATACACAGTGCTTTAAAAATATGGTATTGTATTTAAATATTTTGTATGCTCTCTATACTCACAGTAACTTTAAAATCGATGTGAAATATTATAAAAAGTGCTGCTCGCGTGCGCGCCGTGAAAATAATTTCCTTGATCCTGATAAGAAAGTTCAAAAATGGCCGTATGCACCGACAAAAATCCATGGCCGCCCCCCCTGGAAATTATGGATGATTTCAATGTTATCTCACAAAATACGAATCTTAAATCTAAAGTCAACACACTATACAATAATACACTGTAAACAAAACAATAAACGGATTATTAAGTAAAAGGCAATGTTTTAACCTTTTGAAAGCATTTTCTAAGCTCTCTTTCCTCGGCTCGGGGCCTAAAGGGATATGGAATCACAATATGCTTCGAAAATGGATCATATATTTTATTGTACGAAATATACGATACACTCTATAGCCACCTTTTGCAGAACTAAACAGCTCTAGAAAAGATTTAAGTATGAACTACTAAGCTCTGAAAGGCTTTACAAACCTCCTGAAGTGATAAAAATTTTTAAACAAGTTAAAAAGTAATCGTAAACGATTTACATACATAAAGCGCATTTCCACTTGCATTCATTTCCCATTTGTAAGATGCAACTTCTGTTAAAATCGTAAAAATCCGGCCACAAATATGAAAGATAACGTTGCACATGAGCAATCCATTTTTGACATGCTATTTCAATTTCAGTTTATAAGAAGAATTTCATTTAAATGCTTCCATAAATAAAAAAGTTGACACTGCGCATGCGCAAAACCAAATTTTGAAACTGGCGTTAGATTTTCCTTTATTCCAAGTGCCTATGTATCACAATTCATTTAAATTCTTCCATAAATAAAAAAGTTGGCACTGTGCATGCGCAAAAACAAATTTTGAAACTGGCATTTGATTTTCCTTTATTCCAAGCGCCTATGTATCAAATTTCGTTTAAATTCTTCCATAAATAAAAAAGTTGGCACTGCGCATGCGCAAAACCAAATTTTGAAATTGGCGTTTGATTTTCCTTTATTCCAAGTGTCTATGTATCAAATTTCGTTTAAATTCTTCCATAAATAAAAAAGTTGGCACTGCGCATGCGCAAAACCAAATTTTGAAATTGGCGTTTGATTTTCCTTTATTCCAGGTGCCTATGTATCAAATTTCGTTTAAATTCTTCCATAAATAAAAAAGTTGGCACTGCGCATGCGCAAAACCAAATTTTGAAATTGGCGTTTGATTTTCCTTTATTCAAAGTGCCTATGTATCAAATTTCATTCAAATACTTTTATAAGTAAAAAAGTTTGCAATTCGGTTTATAAATGGTCGAGATGCGAAAAGGGCACTGTGAATTTTGAATCGATTCGACTCAACTTTTGGCATTGCGTATTATATGGCTAAGGCTATGCCCATGCCCCATATTGAATTTAATGCAATTCAGTTCATAACTAACGGAGATGTAAAAGCGATCGGACATTTCTAAACAAAATTATCGTTCACACGGACAGATAGAGGGACAGACAGGCAAAGGAACAGACCGACAGACCAACAGACAGACAACAATACAAAATTATAAATGATCTCTAGGATGGTTAATAAACGGCAAAAGTGTAAAATTATGGAACATGTAAAAAGCGGTTTGTTGGTTTTTTTACAATAACTTTTTTAGCAATAAACGCAGAAAAAATTCCTTCCTTGGTGCAAGCCTCGACACCATAACGAACCAAATAGCGAAAAAAGTAGAACAATATAGCTCTTAAAGAACTAGTAGCGTCGCAAAACGAGCGGACGGACGGACGGACAAAGTGGCCACAGTAGCGCATTTTTTTTTTATTTTTGTGGAAATGCGCTAAAAAGATAGCACAGCTTACTTACTAAGCTGTGAAGATAGTGGGAGCTTTTGGAGTGTATACCAAAAATCTCATAAGGACAGAAATATAATATGCACTCTTCCTGTATATATATCGAAATTTCACTCTAACCTCACATTTTTAAAATTAAAAAAATGGGAACAAACAATAAAAGAACAATATACGTTGGTGGTTTAGCCTTAGAAGTCGATGAAAAAATTTTAAACGCCGCCTTTATACCGTTCGGCGATGTGGTCGACATTCAAATTCCCTTGGACTACGAAACCGAAAAGCATCGTGGCTTCGCGTTCATCGAATTGGAATGCGCAGAGGACGCCGCCGCCGCAATCGACAATATGGTAAGGGCTCCCGTACTCAGTTTCGATTTTAATTAATTGTGTCCAGAACGATTCCGAATTGTTCGGGCGTACCATACGTGTTAACTTGGCGAAACCACAACGCATTAAGGAGGGATCGACTCGACCAGTTTGGGCCGAAGACACTTGGTTACAGCAGCACGCCGGTGAGACTCTGAAGGGTTCGGAGACAGAAGGAGGGACAACCGAAACGGTAGGTCTGTTCTCTGGTCCTTGCCTCTCTTAATGTTCTTGTAGAATTCCATCGAGAAAACCAGGGAGCAGAAGAAGCTTAAAAATCCTCAGGTTTACTTTGATATTAATATTGGCAAAACTGAGGTGGGCCGTATAACGATGATGCTACGGGTGGATGTTGTGCCACGTACTGCAGAAAATTTTCGGTGCCTTTGCACACACGAGAAGGGCTATGGGTTTCAAGGCAGTACATTTCACCGCGTTATTCCAGACTTTGTACGTTTTTCTTTGATTTATAACTAAATTTGCTGTTGTTAAAATTACTTAGTTAGTTCATCCTATATCTACACATGAATGCGTCATATTAATCTCATTGGGTCATCAAGGTATTAATTAGTAATCAGCTATGGGTAATTGCAGTGTGAATAATTAAAAAGATAAATTGTTCTTATGGGAATTGCCCCCAATTATACTTTTAGTACCTAAAATAATTATTTTATTGCATTCCAATTTAAGAATTGTCATTTTGTTGTACGTAAAAATCTCGCCTATTTAGGTATATAAACATTACTATAGTCAATTTTTAGATGTGCCAGGGAGGTGATTTCACACACCACAATGGAACTGGCGGAAAATCGATTTACGGTCGGAAGTTTTCTGATGAAAATTTCATTTTGAAGCACACAAGCGCGGGTACGTTGTCGATGGCCAATTCCGGAGCAAACACTAACGGTTCCCAGTTTTTTATTTGTACAGCGAAGACAGACTGGTTAGATGGAAAGCATGTGGTCTTCGGGCACGTAATTAGCGGAATGGATGTTGTGAGACGGATTGAACGTTGTGGTACAAAATCTGGAACTCCCACTGAGAAGATTACGATAGCAGCGTGTGGGGAGATTCAATAAACTTTAATTGTGTAGAGCAAATTTATTGCGATATGTGGAATATAATCATTTTTTTTATTCTTTTGTTTCAATTACCAATGCAGTTCTACCATTTATGTGGATGTTCAATGTGGATATTATAAACATTATTTTTATTATTAAATAAATACTGGAGGGGGAAGGTGGGCTCAAGTGATACATACAAACACATATTTAGATATAGGTATGTATTGTTTAGTAAGAGTATATAGTAACTACAAATATATAAAAATGAATCTACTTCAAAGAGAAGTCCCGCAATTCGTCCAGCAGTCTAGCCATTTGATCATCCACATTGTCGACAGAATCTATCGATAATTTCATCATTTGTAAATCGTTTACTTTGTCACTTGCATTACGTCTCCACAACGAAATCATCATATTGACAACCTACAAGAAAAACAAGCACCGTTTACAAATTAAATTACCCCCTATATACTTGTTGTAGTTGCTCTCTGAGATTTGTCATCTCGATGGTGCGGGATTTCCAACTGTGTCTCAATATATGCAATTTGCTCTCGGCAAGCTGGCGTGGATTTCGACCATGCATGTCCAACGAGTTTATATCGGCGCCTGCATTTAGTAAATGAGTAATAATTTGTAAATTACTCGTGCAGGCCGCTAAGTGTAAAGGTGTGTTTCCCAGAATATCCTGACTATTTACATCGGCCCCATTTTGTAAAAGTAAACAAACGCACTCCGTATAACCACGACTGACTGCTATGTGTAAGGCACTTCGGTTATGATTGTCTTTGCTATTCGGATTGTGATTTCCTGACAGCATTTCCTGCAATCTTTCAGTATTATTTGTACTAACAGCAGTGATCAATTTCCGTTCGTTTATATCGGGCATATGCAGGTGTAATTTTTGCGCAACTCTTTTTTCCTGGCGTTCTTTCGCTTTCAGTGTAACATGCAGAGATACAGCCTTTTTTATTTTATTTTTTAATTCCATTTTCTTCAGCTCGCTGTCACTATAAGAAGACATTTTTTTCCAAAACAAAACAGGTGTTTCTGTAAAAATAAACAAATAATTGACACCTAACTTCATAAACCGGTTTATTTATGCCTAACTTCATGTCAGTATACCACTCCCCTCCACGTAGAACAAAGTCCATTTTGTAATCATCGAAGGTGTCTTTTTTTTTGCAGAGGGAGTTACGTAACGACCGAACTTCCAAGCACCTTGTATGAACCTGTCAACTTTGAACACGTGGGTTTGACGTTAAACATAACCTCACTTGTTTGCTTTTTGATTACGAAATTCTTGCTTTAACTTTCTTTAAAATGTCTAAAAATATGTTAATTATTGGCATTAGCGGCGTAACTTGCGGTGGCAAGACAACTCTGGCCACTAAGCTTAAAAAATCCATTCCTTCCACTTTGCTAATATCGCAAGACACCTACTTTCTTGCAGAGGATGATCCAAAGCACACATGGATTCCGGAGTTAAATCACATTAATTATGACATACTTTCGAGTTTAGATATGGAGCAAATGTATCGAGACACAATTAAAGTTACGGATCACTACAACACCAATTTACGTAACACGCAAATGACGAAATCGAGTTCGCTGGGCGATTCCGAATTATTACAATACATCAACACAAAACTGAAAGATACTCAGACGAAAGTACTCATCTTAGAAGGATTTTGTATATTTAATTATAAACCTGTTTCCAATTTATGTTTGTTGAAGTATTATCTGACGTTGGACAGGGAGGAGTGCTTTGAGCGACGAAAACTTAGAATTTATGATCCACCCGATTGTCCAGGATACTTTGAGAAATGCGCCTGGCCGGAATATTTAAATCTGAGAAGCTATGTAGAAGAAAATGTTGCGGATGTAAATTACTTTACCGCAGATCAAAACCCATTTCGGAAAATTTTGGCAGACATACATAATGTTTTATGTAATGTTAATTAGTACAATGTAACTGGAATTTTTAAAACAAGCTTCAGCTTTAATTTATTGTTAGATTTTTGTGGATTTTGCTGTTGTGTTTGGTGTATCAAATAGGGGATAGACAATCAGTATTTTACCAACTATGTATGCACTTTAGTTCCTTTTATTATAGTACTTAAGAACTTACATCTAGAGCTTATAAAAATTGAAATTGTTCACATCAATTTTGTCTTAATAAAGTTGTTAATTGTTGCTTATTATGTACACTCTACTTGAGATATTGGTAATACTGGGTGAGTTGATACACTCGTTATATAAATTTAAAATACTATTGTACTTATTTGTGTGTGCAAAGTTGAACTGAAAACAGGAGACACTTGTATTTCTTCATAATAAACAAGAAATTCAGATCTAATACCTTATGGTTGATACGATGCTGAAGTGCTTTGAAGATAGGTGTAGGTAAGTTTTAGTAGCCTTTCAGAAAAAAAATTTAGAGACCTTCAAAATAGATTGTACTTCAGCCACTTCAGGAGGTATGTTAATATCACCAAACTTTGCAACAATGTAAGAATGACGCAAGATTTTTATAATTGTTTAATACCTTTCCTAAACGTTAGGTTAGTTGCATTTAGCGTTGAGCTTCATAGATGCAACTTCTTGATCCTGTGTAATAAGGACTACACCAACCAATACCGAACTTAATCCAGTCCACCAAAGTAAAGATGTTATCTCCCCAAATACAATATAGCCCAAAATAGCCTGAAAGTGATTTATAATAACAAATACACAAAATAATAAGTCTACCGATAAAAGATAGTTTACTGCTGAACTTAAAACGGTCGCAGTTAGTGTGGAATTTGTCGACTGTAATGCTTTTACGTATAGTGTCCAGACAGATCCGTTGCACAACAACATTAAACCAAAAAACACGACCCTTACAATAAAGAAACCCTAAAAAAATTTTTTAATGCTCAAATTGAAAATACTCCGAGCTAACCTGAAAGATAGGCAACCCACACAACTTGCCAAAGAAACTGGCACCAGCAGCCGACGTCCCAGACAAAATTGAGTAATAATTCACTTTACTCATTGCAGGCCTTTACATTTTATTGTTGATAAAATAGAAAAATATACTATGCAATTTTTGGTTAGAATGTATGAACACTGCTTTCAAGTTCGGATCACCCATGCTATACAGGGCGTTTATTTCAGGTTACCATCCACATCTCTGCTCTGTCACTTTGTCCCTACAACTGATTCAATATTCAATTTGTTTATTTTCTACCTCAGAGTAAGAAATATACTCTTAAGTTTTACGTACGCCAAAGGGGTTAATCATTTTTTGTCCCTATAGGAAATGTATCTCAATTCTAAAGTTAAGGAACACAAATCAATATTGGCAACGTCGCACGTGTATCTGCTTTGTTTATCTGATGTACAGCAGTACCTATTCGATGGTTTACATGGCGAAAAATTGAGTATTTTCCATATATATGGTATTTTCTAGGGAAGACATTTATAAATAATTAATAATGACGTCTTTAGAAAATTTGGAAACTCAATTAGAATTGTTTATAGAAAACGTTCGCCAAATACACATTATTGTTAGCGACTTTCAACCACAAAGTCAAACTGTACTAAATCAAAAACTGTAAGTAAAAGAAATCAATTTTCTTTTATAATTTGTAATTGTCCTCAGGCAATCGCTCGTGCACGGTCTACAGGAGGTAGATAAACTGAAATCGCAAGTGCAAGATGTTCACGTTCCCCTAGAAGTATTTGAGTAAGTCACTGTTAGGGAGAGGGTCAACATTAATAGATTATTTTTCCAGTTACATCGACCAAGGCCGTAATCCACAACTGTACACTAAAGACTGCATCGAAAAGGCACTGGCCAAGAATGAACAGGTGAAAGGAAAAATTGATGCGTATCGTAAATTCAAAACAAACATCTTAGTTGAGCTTAGCCGTATATTTCCGACTGAACTTAGTAAATATCGTGCGTTACGGGGTGAGGAATGACAATTGTATAAATAAATCAATTGTATTTTCAATACAGTAAAAATAATTGTTATTTTAAACGGCTTAAGTTGCCAACGAATCTGTAAAAGTATTAATAAAGTCGATGTGTCCTCTGTTGTTCAATCATCCCTTTGTCCGCAGCCTTAAGACATCCCCAGGGTTTGATCCTGCACCTGGAGATTATAGTGGAAGCAGACCCAGGTCCCAGGAGAATTTCTATGGCCGTGATGGGTTAGGTACGCTTCTCATTTAAATAACTGTAACCTTTGTTTATTCATTTATAAACAATGTATAACGTATAAGAACGAACACTACACTCTATTAGTGTAGACACAGATATACGTATCTGTGGTGTATCATCGTAGATTACAGTGACTCAATTTAGTGTAGTGGAGATAACAGGGTATCTCGTTTTTGATTGGTCGTTGGTTCCGGTCGCCATATTGGGGCTAAATTTCAAACTGGCCAATAGAAAGCACCCAAAACGACGCGATACACACCGTACTATAATTTATACTGTTTGGACATTTCACGCAATTTGCTTTGTTTTAAATTTTCCGTCTCCAGTTTTTATATACATACTCGTATTTTTCAAGACGCATATAGCATGGATTTCTATGAAAATTATCAATAGCCACCGCTGGGCTACTCCACCGCCGCCACCTACTCGTTCAAAAGCAATAATTTTCGCTCGCGCGCGACCTACACTTTTGAAATAATTATTTTCGTATTCCTCCCTCCTTCATTCGTTGCCTCACCTTCATCCTTTAACTACATTTTGATCGTGGACTGAATCGCCCCAAAATTTACGAAATATTGATCAACTTCTGTTATACGAATTTTTAGTTTATATTTTTTCTATAAGAGATCGCGGCGGTGATTATCAAAATCATTAAGGTATGCAAGGAATCTGATTAAAATTTAAAAAAATGCAAACCAATGCACACAATGGTGAATGCAAACAGAAAAGAAAAACGATACCAGGCGCACTTACCCCTCTTCAGTTATCTGAATGTAGCAAACGCCATCGCCATGAAGAAAAACGCCAATTATCAAAAATATGTTATATCCACCATCCACGTCTTGGGTAAGCAACCATATAGTCTTCTGTAAATTACCCCGGCTCGAAGGACCAGTTGTTTAATCAGATTACTGGGTTTATTAACAAATAGTATGCTGTGGTGCTCCTCAAACAATTAACAATGTAAGCACTATAGCCAAACTGGCCAATAGGCAACACAATACAATTCGATAAACAATACAAAACGGAGAAATCAGCGCACACAGAAGGTAACCAAACCAAAATGAGCATACATAGTCCATTTGTTAATCAATACTAACATATGGAACCCTAAACTAAATACCATTAAATTCTACATTTTACGAAACTGGTAATGGAAGAATTAGTAGTAGAAGACAGAAGGTTATTCACTATTAACATATAAATAAAATAAATCAAATTGTTTTACAAATTATATTTTTAATACAATTAAAGATTGTTATACTAAAACTCTTGAGTTCCCCAACGAATCTGTAAAGTATGATCACAATAAAAAGGTGCAGCAACACTAAATTACACTTACATCATTACGAGCCTTAAGTTTCCTGTCTATTAATCCCACAAGCGTCTCCGACCTTACGGCTAACGAATCGATTTTCTCGATTAGTTGTTGATAGGGTGAAAGAGGTTGCGCCCCCATCACCACGTGACCAAGTTTGGAATCGATTTTGGCATCCAAACGCGCATTTCTGATCAAATTGACAATCCAGCACTCGGCCTCGTCGGGATTCATATTTAACTTCTCCGCCAGCATTCCGATACTAATGCATTGGTGAATGCGACAGAAAGTTTCGAAAATCATAAGACGGGCGTTCTCCACAAACTCCTCCAGGCAGGATATTAAAAAGAAATCGTTAAATAGAACTGTGTGGCACTCGTGCAGCTTTTGTCGAGCGCCGTCAAAATCGAAGTTGACGTACAAGTGCTCTAAGAACTCAGTGATCGGATCACGATACGTATAACTTTCCTGCTGTATAACCTTCACCAAGTCTTTCAGTGCAGATCTGCGTCCGCGATTTATGATAACAGCTGTCGCGAGATACCTTAAAATATGTGGGCACATCGTTTGTATCGCGTTCAAATAGTGAGGACGATACAAGAACATCTCGATGATTAACTCGCGTCCCATTGCGTGATTAAAGAAGACGAACAGTGACCAATGTATCAGCCATGTTCTCTGCTGCAGCAATTGCAAGCTATTCCCGCCGAAATGATTCGGACTCGAATCAATGTACTCGCGTAACTTATTTAGATCCTCCAGGGCTGACTCCCAATTTTGTACTAAAATTTCAGAAGCCAACTTGCCCCAGAGAACACTGAGGTAGCTTTTGTCGCTCGGTGGAAGTACCAGCATGCAGAAGTACAAGTAGGAGGTGGACACTGAATAATTTCCACACTCATAACGATACTTGGCTAGTTTGTGTAGACTTTCGATCATATCAATTTCGAACTGTAACAGAAATTGCAACGTTTTATTTTTTGCCGAAGAGATTTAAGTCTCTCATTAACTACAATATTAAAAGGTTTGACAATTAGGAAAGGAATCCGTAATGTACCTACCTATCGGTTCTACACTTATGGCTTGTATGATTTTTCAAAAAATTAATTGGGGTACTAATTTGAAGGGTCAACCTGGACAAGAGAATTAAGACAGCAGAGAATGAAAAAATTTAACCCCCCACCAAACTCTGCAATAATTGTATAAACCCAAAATGCCAAACTTAAGTATCTTAGGAGTCAGATTGGTTTCTTACGTTATAATCTTTCGACAGGAAGTTTATGAGCGTTTTTGAATCCCTCATATTCTCCATCGTTTTCATAACTTCATCGTTGCCCATCACTTTTGTAATCGGTTCAACTTCCTGCTGCAGTTCTTGTAGTTGGGCCACGACATGCACACGCCTTTGCTTTAATTCCTGCAAAAATTGTTACAGATTTGTAAAAAAAACCACCCAGCACATACCTCTGGTACTTCCTCATTGGGATACAACTGCCGCCTGATGTCTATAGCGTAGTCTACCATGTTAGTTTTGCTGAGAATGTCGAGCTTGGCTTTCAGTAGTTCGGTTTCATCATAAATCTGGTACAAACATTATGAAAGCTGTTAACATAACCTATACGTACTTCTTTCGCCGATAGAAACTCCAACAGCGGGAATACTAAATGCCTATCCAAATACTGTCCCATACGTGATGTTAAATCAAATTTCGCCATTTTTGTTATACGTTTAAAATTGTTTAAATAAAAATTCGTAACTTTAACGTGTTAATCACTGAATGATATGAAGTTGGCCGCACACCCACTCAGAGAACAAGGGTGGCAACATTAATTATTTACTTGGCCGATGTATTTATCAATATTTTCATATTTCCAATCGCTCTCTTTAACAAATTCAAGTTCTTTGCGTAGTGATTTTAATCTATTTTGATGTAACTCTTGTAAACTTTGAGAGGAATGCACTTGAACCGTTTCACCAAATTTAGCGCACGATTTCACCGATGACAAGGTATTATCTTCGTTATTTTTATTTTGACCTGGCGAATTTAACACAGATTTTGATAAATTTGTTGTTGCCATTGAGGAATATTCAAAAATTAGATGGAAAAAGTTTTCGGGGAAAAAGTGTGAAATGAACGTCTGTTTTCCGGCAAACTTCGCACAATACAAACCACGTTGCCACACTGTCAAACATACCGGAGATCCCGCAAAATGACTTAATTTGTCTCTTTCGTTCCACGCAAAACATTTGACCTGCTTTTATCCTTTTAAAAGATATTCGAAAGATTCTGACATGGCGTTGAGAAAAGCCTACATATCGCTAGTAAACACGCAAAAATAGCTGGAGCGAGGTTCTGAAGAACACCTGTCACCTACCTATGCATATTATACCAGTAGTGGAGCTTTCGGAACAGAATCTGTTTTTCCGTGGAAAACTATTGTAGGAACTCGAATGACAGGATCTGTTGTGGTCCAAACAGGAAACGTGGTATATGTGTTAGGAACTTTGTCTCCCGGAAGAAGTTTTCAATCTAGTTTCTGGATAAAAACTGCCAATCATTGTAATGTCTGCTTTGTCAGTCATTCAAATTTTCCCGAGCATATTTAACTCGGTAGTGCTATTTGCTGGAAAAGCCAAAGCTGTAATTTCGCTTAGCTGTTTCTACCTTTATTGGAGGCGTACGCTGTTGCCACATCCTGGGACCATATCTCTATAGATTGACAACCATTGGCAGTACTGCAGATATTTTACGAAGAAGTTGACAGCAAATAGCAAATGCACTTGTCAAAAAATCAACAAAGAACCAAATGCCGGTTTCCTTATTATTTTTATTTGTAGTTTACTAATTTTGTGGTCAAAGTACAAATGGCTTCCGCTTTGGAGCAGTTTGTAAATACTGTCAGGACCCTATCGTCTCAAGGTGATATTCTGACTTGTTTAGACATTGTAACCTACAGTTCACATTTTCAGGCAACTACAGAGACTTATGTGACTATCTAAGTAAAAGCAATGAAATTTTAATAAAAAATGGCCAACACTTGGACAATGTGCTCGAAACGTTAGATATTCAGCAACACTCTTTGGGGGTGCTTGCTGTTCTAAATGCGAAATACAATACACCTCTAGTGAATGCGACGAACGAAAATAGATTTAAACAAGTGAAGGATTTCATTTTTAATTGTAACGGCGAACAAATTAGATTAGCACCAGACCTGTGTATGTAAATTACCATGATCTTGCATAATTTAAATCGAATTTAGTTGCAGAACTCTGTCATTTAGTTACGGCAAATTTAACTGAACAAAAGCAACCGATTAAAGGCATTTCTCTGCTACAGAAAGCGATTTCGAAACTTCAACTGTACGACTCCCAGCTAACATCCATACATGCCGATTTATGTCAATTATGCTTACTCTCGAAATGCTTCAAGCCCGCTTTAGAAATATTAGATATCGATATTACGGGAATATGTCAAGAGAATGTGCAAGGTCAAAGTGGGTCGCATTTCGATGCCAAGTACTTTCTTTTGTATTATTATTATGGGGGTATGATTTACTTAGCTCTGCGTAATTTGGACCGTGCACTTTATTTTTTGGAAGTTGCCATTACGACTCCTGCACAGGAAGTTTCTCATATTATGTTAGAATCGTATAAGAAATACATCCTTGTCTCGCTGCTATTGCATGGAAAGGTATGGCACTTGTCGCACCTGCACGAAAAAAATCCTACCTATTAAAAAAAATACTGATTTGTTCTTGCTGATATGTAGGATTTTTGTTGCTTGTATGGCCGACTTAAGGAACATTTATTTTAATGAAGCGTTTAGATTTTAGTTATACCTAAGTACACATCAAGGGTAGTTAATCGTTTCATAAAACCGCTCTCTCAGCCCTACCACGAACTAACAAACGGATTTGCGTCAAATAATTCGGCCGAATTAAATATGATTGTTAATAAACACAATGAGGTTCGTTATATATTTGTTTTGGAGCAGTAATTAAACGTAAACATTGTAGGTATTTGCTCGAGATCACAATTTAGGACTAGTTAAGCAGGTGGTGTCTGTGTTGTATAAGAAAAATATTCAGCGCCTTACGAAAACTTTTTTAACACTCAGCTTGTCGGACGTCGCCAGTCGAGTGGGGCTTGCCAGTCCAAACGACGCTGAAAACTACATATTGCACATGATCGAGGATAAGCAGATTTACGCGACGATCAACCAAAAGGACGGTATGGTTATATTTCGCGATGAGCCTGATAAATACGGCGGGCCGGAGGTGCTGAAGGGTTTAGAAACGCAATTGCAACAGTGCATGGAGTTGGACAAGCAAATTTTGGCGATGGATGAGGAGATTCAGGTTAACCCTCAGTATGTGAAAAAGGCGACCGGTTTACAGGAGGACGAGCAGCCTAGCAAAAGCGCTTACGCCATATGAAAATGTACCGTTGTTTATTTGCTTTATTTCTTCATCTTTGTACCTGTTTAAGTTTGAAACCATTACAGCTGCATTGCCCAATTTGAGTGAAAGAGTTTAACTTTGTACTAATAAAATCACACAGAAATTACACTTTCAGTGTTTTTTGTAGTTCTCTCGGTCACATAAACACCCACAAAATAGTTTCTAAACCTACGATTTTCTTTAACATGGCGAGTGGACCACCTTAACACTGTCCATTTGGCTCTCAGACTAAATGACTAATGCACATCCATTTGTATTTGGCCATGTCTTCTATTTGCACATTTCTGTCTGAGCATCCAGTATCTATTTTACAACTTGACCAAAAAGCCCTCTTCCTATAGGACCCAAAATACGTTACTAATAATATATTATTTATTTATTGATGTGAGGACTGTGGTCTGATGCAACCCATGGACTTCCCTGACTGATGATGAAAGATTACCTGTGAATTTTTTGCAGTAGGTAGCCTATACCTTGATGGTGTGCCAGATGGCCATCAAAGTTCGCTGTCTAAAAGGGGGGCCCCCCCTCCACGAATTATTTTCTGGGATGCTGTTTTTCAAAGTAAAACGTGCATAACTTTTACATACGACAACCAATTGGTCTCAGATTTTGCATACGAATGCCTTTAGTCTAAGCCTTTAGTGGTGCCAAGTTAAACTTTAGAGGGGGGGGGGGTGAACACATGTTCTACCCTTCATGGTATTCTAATGAAAGGTCTCATCGAAATAAAATATTTGTACAAACTATAACTTTCCCGTGCAACTTTTTTTCGAGATAAGTTCTAGAGTGAAGGAGAGTGTTACGTATACCAATAAAAAAATATGCCGCCACCAATGAAATGAACACACGGTATCGTAATTTGAGCGCTGTCTTTTTGTATGGCTAACTTCACTCGTAATGCAAGTACAGCTGTCAACTTTAAACATGTCGCTTCCGTATAATAGAAAGTTTAATTCACCGGTAGTTTTTTAATAAATAAACCCTAATTTAATACAATTCATTATCGAAATGTGACCTGGATATATAGTAAATATTTTGTACAAATTTACAAACGCATTCCTAACCTATAATCACGTAAATTTAACTCGTAAAATGATGTGAAATCAAATGCAAAAATTAGTTAATTACAAATCCAAGTTGAAATAAAGGTAAGATGAATTAATTGTTACTCTTGGTTAATTAGAATAATCGTGTTGAGAAGGTGCAGGGTGGTTGTTATGGTGTATGTTGCCTGGTTACGCTTGAATTATTACCATTTCCTCCCAAATGTTGAGAATGGAATCGAATTTAATCTGCAATTCTTTGTGGGTCACTTGTGGAAACTGGGTCATAAAGATGAAGATCATTTGTGGTTCATAAGATCTCTCTTTTGTTTTGTTTGTACCTAAATTAACCCCTGACGGTTTTGAAAGATATGCTTGTAATTTGCAGGTAGTTAATTAACACTTATAGTTTTTCAATTTCTAAAAATAAATATTACACATGCTCAAGGAAAACTTTGTGTCAAGAGAGGTGGTTTGTTGGTAGATCTAGATTTAATGTAAATAATTTGAATACTTTCGCCACCCTAATTTGGCGCACTTGAATTTTTTCCTATCCAGTAGTGGGTACAAATGTCAATGGTAACTTATCAAACAGGAAGAGGCTTTTTACTCAAGGCCAGCTTTGAGGAAATTGTGAAGGTCAGCTTCTTTTACTTATACCAAGAAGAACCACTTGTATCACTTTCTTCATAAATGAACCACTTTCTAGACCGACCACATACTAATTCCCTTAAGATTATAAGCAAATACAGTCCTCAGGTGTTAATGAATGTATAAATATTAGATAACACAATTCCTTGTAGATACATCTCATTTAATCACAGAGTTATTTTGAAATAGATAAGATAATGTCACCTACTTAAAAAAATTACATTGTATGTTGTGCACAATACTCCTATAACTGAATAATTCGCAGATTCAAA